ATGTGGGATTCAGATTCTACACGCAGTCTTTTGTGAAATTGAAAACGTGCAGGGACACATCTTCTCAACGCTCCCTTTAAGATTTATTTGCTGTTTTACTGCTTCGCTGCGTTACCAGGCAGACTGTGACCTGAATATCTGTGCACACGCTGAACTGTTTATTTTTCTTACATTGAATTTCAGACTCGAGCTGGTGTTTTTGGATTGATAAATTATTTACATCTGTGTTTTCTGTTATTAGCTGCAGTTTGGAATCGTGTTTGACCCAGAGTAACCTCAACAGCAACACAAACTCTCATATATTCTTAAAATGTGTGAAAAATATTTATCACAAAACTTATATTTTACATGGTAATGATTACAGACTGTGTCTTCATTGTAATACCTCTGTGTGTGTGTTGTGAGGTGCTTTACCTGGAGAGTATGTTTGTTTTGTTTTTGCATAATTCAGTGCTGAAATAAGAAATATTCTAATTTTCTAATTAAATTATCATTTAAGTGTGATCAGTTGCTTGTTTCTCTCTTTCATGTCAGTGTAAATAGTTTTTCAGTCATACAAAATAATCACTTTTGAAGACTTTGGTAGCATCATTATTATTATTATTATTATTATTATTATTATTATTATTATTATTATTATTATTATTATTATTATTATTATTATTAATAAACACCTGTTAGTTGCAGAACCATGTGAAACTATTCTCCACAGTCAAGGACTTAGAGGCCGACAGCTCAGCCATGTGACCTGCTCTGTGTGTGTGTGTGTGTGTTATTAATACACATAGTGATCATGAACGTGTTATTTAAGGAACCGGTAAAGGACACACTAACACTCTAAAACAAGTCTAGTCCTCCACAGTGAATTTTTATTTTAGTGTCATAATCAACCTATGAAGTGTTTTTTTCAACACCAACATGTCACGTTTCTCCTGTAATTAACATTTATGTTCAACTATTGGACTCTGACGCCACTGCCCTCTAGTGGCCTGAGCCATGTATGTATGATAATGTATATTGCAGCTGCCTACATTGTCCATTTTCATAACACAATTCGTACACTGTAAAAAAAATAATCTAATTTTGTGTGTGTGTGTCAAGTGGCGAACTGCCGTGACGTTGCCCATTGGTTTGTGAACTGCTGTTTTGAAGCCTTGAGTTTGGCTTAATGGACGTCGCCATCTTGGTTTTTTGGCGCCAGAAGAAACAATATTTGGATGAGAGGGTGGAGCTGGGGAGGAGGGAGGGGTGGAGCTGACCTGTGTCCTCGAGGACACCAAGTACACCCACCTGCATCAGCAACCTGACAGCAACAGGCTCCTGGCTGAGCCGTGCGAAGATGCTGCTAACACGGTTAGCTGTCACAACTGTTACATTAGTCTTACATGCTAATATCATACATGTGAGGAGTAACTTCTTATTGTAGTTGAAGTTAGCATGTGTGCTAACGTTAAACTGTGAAACCACAGTGTAAAACATATTCCAACATTAAGACTGATGATGAATAACGGCTCCTGGACTTTATGCACCTTCCCTCCGTCACTTATGGACGGCTGCAACAGCTTCAAACTTTGTAAACCTGGAAAATAAATCTGCAGGAGAAATTCAAGTTTGTGCACGTGAAAACAAATTGTGCTTGTGGCAAAGAGATTTGTATTTGTTGAGACAGTGTGAATCAAAACTGAACTAATGATCAGTGGTGAGGTTAAACAAAGACACAGGGGAAGAAGAAAAGCTTTGTGGACATCTGTAGAGAGAAAGAGCAGATAACTGTAAAACTCAGTGAGCAACATTCCCAGTGTGAGACACTGACAAGGACAAAGTTTGATCCTCGTCCCTTCAGTGTCACTGTGGAAACTTGACCAGAGTTTTACAGTTTTATTCTCTGTACCACAACACAGATGTTGACAAATCCATTTCTTCTTTTACAGTGTCTTTGTTCAACCTCAACACTGATCGTTTGTGGAGTTTTGATTCAGACTTTCAACAAATACAAATCTCTTTGACACAAGTGAAATTGTTTCACATACGCAAACTTGAATTCCTCAAGCAGATTTATTTTCCAGGTTTACAAAGTTTGATTTACAACTACAAACACTGGAATCATTTGTGAACATCACTTTACAAGCTCAAAATCATTTTGACCCTAATTTGAGCCTAGGTACATGTAGTTACAGCCAACAACAGTTTTAGTTTTAAAAACATCTGCTCACTAATACACACGTCTCAGCATTAGTTTTACACAAAATAAAAATAACAGTTTTCCGCTGCAGAAACGTGAGTGGATTCACTTTATTTAACGTGTTTGATCATAATAAATTAGGAAAAATCTGTAAAATAACAGTTTTTCTCTGTAGAAATATTAATGAAACTTTCCGTAAATTTATTGTTTTCACACTTTATTTGAATTAGGACATTTTACTTTAATTTTACAGTTTTTGTTTGGCAGCTGCTCATTTCACCGCTTTTTAACGTTTTTTTTTTTTTTTACAGTGTTTAATATTAGTGAGTGACAACTCTGGTCAGCTTTTCATTTCTCTCTGAAGCAGTTTCACATGCATGTCTGGACTGTGATGAGAATTGTATTTAATTGACTGTTTATTTCATGTTTTATTGAATTTGATTAATATTCAGAATATATTAATCAAGCAGTGAAGTCAAGCCAGTTTCATTTATGTATTTACCTCAAAGGGCTTTACAGTTCATCTCTGCCTCACCAGAGTGGTTCATTCTATGTTGAGACAGTTTAGTGTTCAAGTAAATCTTCATTGTTACAGCATTAATTGATAAATATCCCATGATAAGTGACTTGTGACTATAATATTATGTGGTATTTGGCACAGCTGCATCATCATGAGACTGTTCTCCACACCATGTGCCAGAAATTAGCAATGTTTGTGACCGATGGCCGACTCAGGCAGGGTCTTCCTCTCAGTATATTGTTTGTAGCCGACAGTCTTTGGTGTTCCCTCATTTAGATCAGGTCAACTGTTCTGCTGAACCTTTATAAAAGCTCCAGGGCGGCAGCTGCTGGTCACGAGCATGAGGTCATCCTCACTGTGCGATTTTTCTCTAGGGATCTAGTGGTTTTACATATGTGTGGGGAGTTTATATTCCACAACAAAACACTATACATTTGTAGATATTATATTGGCTCTGATTCCAGTATATTACAAACTCAATATGTTATATATATTATTATTATTATTAAAATAACATTGCTATAAAATAAAAATCACCTATCGCCACACATGCTTTTTGTTGGAAATAGCTGTATAATGCTTGATCTTATCTCACTTTTACCAATACATGTTCATAATTGCAACCTGTGTTCATTGAGCATGTTTGTGTTTTTTATAATTCAAAAAGCTTCATTTTGTTTTGTGTGTTTTTATGTCCAACATGTTGATACAGCATGTCAAATAAAAAAACAATTGTTAGGTGATGTTGTGCTGAAAAAAAAGATTTTAAAATGTGTTATATTAAGGCAAAATCAAAACTATTAAAAACGGTCAAATGAGAGACACCCACACAGCTGTTTTACCTTGTTTTGATCAGACTATTTACACCTTTATTATTCTTGTTGGGAGCTAGATTCCGTTGTGATAAGGGAAAACTAATGCAGGTCATAATGCAGGTTGATCTTTATCTAAAATCTGCAAAAATAAAAACCCTGATGATATCACAGTGACGTCATCAGGGTTTATCACAGACTGGACTTGAGGCATCATAACTACGGGCGAGGAGTGTCAAACGTGTGGATGTTTATCCCACCAATCAGGGAGCGTCTCACGAAAACCATGAACAGCGTTGAGGAGAGAAACTGTTCACTTCAACAGATTTCTGACAAGAAATACAGACATGACGTCAATAACCTGTTGGCATCACTGCCAGTCATCGAAATACAATCCAATATTCCTCTTATTTTACAGGAGCTACACAGGCCTGCACTGTCTGGATCTGGTTTCACTTGGTGATGAACTGCTTCAATAATGTGATCATCATCACGTGGTCCTAATGTGATTCATTTTTTTATTTTAGAAAGTCAGAATTCTGAGTTTAAAGTCAGAATTATTATTATTTTTAAATCACATGTGGCCCTAATGTGATTTTTTTTTTTTTTTTTGGATTCTGACTTTAAAGTAAAGAGTTTAAAGTCAGAATAATGAAAAAAAAAAAGTTTTAATTTTAACATTTCTATAGAATTTTAAAGTCTGTCGCAAATGGCCAACCCCGCCACAGTCTCTACGGCGTGGGCACGACGGTCGCTCGTGCACGCGCCCCCACTCGCCGCGTCCGTCGCTGTGCCCGCGCGCCTCTGGGTGCGCGCAGGAGGACCCGTCCCTACAGCAGCGGAGCAGCAGCGCATCCATCCTGCCGTGGAGCCGGGAGCGTGGAGCCGCGAGGAGCACACACAGAGAGAGAGAGAGAGAGAGCGAGAGAGAGAGCGAGAGAGAGAGAGAGAGAGAGAGAGAGAGAGAAGATGGACGGAGTGGGATCGTTCGGAGCGGGCCGGACCGGGTCCACCATGGACCCGATCACCTTCGCCAAACAGCCGCAGACCATCCTCAGAGTGCTGTCCTGGGTGAGAGCGGGTTTTTACGGCTCTGCTGTTTGTGTGTGTAATAGTGTGTGTGTTGGAGGTGGAGGTGGAGGAGGAGGGGGGAGGAGGGGGGGGTTCCTCTCTGGTTCGTTGCGGCGCGAGACCCGTGACGTGTTCTCACTGCAAATATAGACCCTCAGAAAATCCACCGATAATCGATGAGCAGGGTGTGTGAATGGAACCGTGAGATGGATGTGTAATGAGCACTGGGGGGTGGGGGGGGGGGGGGGGTATTTCTACAGAGACAGACCGTGCAGGGTGTAACCCAGGCCTGCTGGTTATCTGACACCCTCACCATGAAACATCTGATTTTATACAGATGTTTCATGGGGCAGAAACCGCTGTATCCTCACACATCCTCATCTTTTAAATCCTGCCTGCCAACGCTTCAGAAGCAGAGCCTGTGTGCAGCAGACCGGACCCGGATTGTGGAGAAAATAAGATCCATATTCATGTTCCTCAGCCTCCTCGTGCCCGCCGCTCGTGCAGTCGTTATTTTCTTCTTCTGAAACACCACTGTGATGTTGACCTGACAAACCCGCTTCATTTTTCATCTCTATCATGTTTCCATTAATGATTTTGCTGATTTAACCCTAAACGGTCGTCGTCCGTCATCTCACCTGTGATTGGTCCGTGACATCGTTACGCACGCAGAGCCACGGAGACGCGTCGTGCCCTGGCGTTTGATGTAACGCATCACCTTTGGGTGACACGGAGAAGGTCTTCTACGGCAGAGTGGACATCTCTGAGACACCGAGGACAGCTCTGTGTGGAAGAGACATCACTTCATCCTCATCAGTGTCTGTTCCGCGTGTAACCAACATGATGTGGCTTTTTCTCTGGTGTAGAAAACAGGCTCCCCTCCTCAGCTATGATGCGCTCCTGTCATTGGCTTATCACAGAAACAGGCCTCAATATGAGAGTGAAAACAAAAACATTATTTATATTTGTATTTTCGTTTCAGGATGACATCTTTTCACCTGACTTGTGCTGCTTTGCTAATGATTTGTCGGCCCACGGGTTGGGAGCCACCGGTCTAAACTATAATGCAGCATTACAAAGGAAATGAGTAAATTACAAGTATCTCAAAACTGAACTGGAGCTCAGCACAAAAAGCAAATGTCCAATGTGTGTTAGTTGCACCAGAACCTGCTGCCACTTTGTTCACTGTGGGTTTACTCTCACGTTCCTGACTGAAATAAAACAACTCATATTGTTCTTATATGGCTACAGCTCTTCAGCTTTACATCACCAGAAGTAAAAAATCAAAGTATAAAGCATTTAACAAAGAGAGAGGGAACGTGAACCAGAGTCAAAAATAGTGGAATAGTAGCTGAATTTCCTTTGAACAGAGCTAAAAACTGTAATTTCCCACACCCTCATAATGAGGCAAAGACTCTGCTTTACGTTTCTCTCAACATTCACAGATGCTGATTCATTACAAGCACCGAGTGTGTGTCTGCTCAGATTATATCCACATGTGATTAGTTTAAAATGTGGACCCGACATTATCCCATTGTGTGCACCTCCGCCATCATATGACCCAAACCCCCAAGTGTGGGTGCATTTTTCTGTGTGTGTGTGTGTGTGTGTGTGTGTCACACGGCCCTATTCTGCCAATGTGTGTTAGTCAGCTGATCAGTGTCAGTGTGTCCAGAGCAGAGGGAGGGAGGGAGGGAGGAAGACAGAGGATAAACTATGGGGATCAGATGTAAAGAGGGGTGTTGTTGAGACAAATGGGACGAACCAATGAGGGGAAAAAATGTTACAGCATGAGATACAGAAACCTTTATCACAGTTCCTCTTTCGGTTTACACGCCGCCTCGGGACGATGTGATTCTTAAGGGGAAGTGAAGCATCCACCTCTTCAGTCAGTCAGAGAGAAAGAGCGGAAATTAGGTTAATGCTTTTGGGCTGAGCACGCTGAAAGAGACGCTCTCTGGTCGAGCTGCCTCCGTCCTGTTTCCAGTGAGTCTGCCACTGGTTAAAGTGAAGGATATGGTGATTGTCAAAGCAGTAATTTGTACGTTGATATCCCATCTACCTCACTGCGTTTTCTCTCTCCCTTGTGTCCACCCTCTCCTCTTCCTCTTCCGTCCACAGATATTTTCCCTGGTGGTCTTCGCCTCCATCGTGAACGAGGGTTACGTCAACATCGGCAGCGAGCGTCTCCACTGCGTCTTCAATAAGAACGCAGACGCCTGTAACTACGGCGTGTTCGTGGGCCTGGTGGGCCTGCTGGCGTGCTCCTTCTTCTTCCTGCTCGACTACAAGTTCTCCTCCATCAGCTCCGTCAAGGACAGGAAGAAGGCTGTGATGCTGGAGATCGGCTTCTCAGGTGAGGAGGAAACCACGGGCGGTCACATTTACAGCCAACAAAGTTCTGTTGCCAGTTTTTGATATGATTCTTACAGTTTTCCAAGAGGCAGGGGAGGACACGTTGGACATTTCATGAGGGAGCCTGTGATTCAGCAAATGGCCAGAAGCAGACTGGTTGGACTAAGATTACCAGATTTCTGAAATGAAAACCAGGGACATTTCCAGTTCGTCGTCAATATATCATTAAAATATCCAATGTTTTTACCTATGAAATAAAAAAGAGGGACAGTCCTGGTATTTTGACCACAGTCACTTTTGTACTGTAATAAATTATTGTGAAGGACGACTGATAAAACGACTCCCTACATGTGAAGCTATCGTAAAGTCCAATTGTCTGTCTATTCATTGATTATTTATATTCCTTTAGTGCGTAAGTGTCCACAGATCAAAAGAATCAAAAGTCTACTAATGTATTTTCTATTTAAATGGGACATTACAAAGTGATTAGCAATATCAGTTTTGAATTTTAAAACTGGGGGGGGGGGGGCACTGATTATAGGTTACTCAGTTAGCAGACTGCAGAGACACACAAGCCATAAAAAGTGTCCTTGTTAATGCTTGATCATGCTGAAAGGCTGGATTCAAAGGGCTGGATTCAAAGGGCTGGATTTCCCAGAAATACCAACATTTAGCCGACAAGTCGCACTTCTTTGTTTCAGATCATTGTTTTCATGCACCAGAAGAGAACAAGAGACATGAAACCTGTAAACTGACATTAAAGAAATAAGAATATTTTTCCTTTCTAAAGGGAAGAGAGAAAAGCTTCAGGCGGATTTGATTTGAAAAGCCAACACCTGTACCTGACTGTGTTTGTAGAGTGAAGCAGGGATTTACCTTCCTTTCTGTTATAACACAGCGTCTCTGTTCCGCTGCTTTCTGGCAGGTTTCTGGACCTTCCTGTACTTTGTAAGTTTCTGTTTCCTGGCCAATCAGTGGTCACGGACCACGCCTGATGAGCTGCCACTCAACCAGGGGGCAGATGCAGCTCGGGCAGCGATCGCCTTCTCTTTCTTCTCCATAATCACCTGGGTAAGGATATACAACCACACACACAGACACACACACACACACAGACACACACACACAGACACACAGACAGACACACACACACACACACACACACACACACACACACACAAGCAAAAACGCAGACGAATACAAGAAACTACCAGAATAAAGACTCAGTATACTGAGTAATACCAGGTACAATACAGAGTCCAGTACAGAGATACTGAGCTTAACTAAGTGGGGGAGCAAATTCATTTCCTGAACAAACAACAAACAACATTTCCCTCAAATGGAAGGATGTTTTCCACACCCTGTCTCTAGGCCTGAATTTTGTCCCTGACCCGTTATTGGAGAAAATGAAGTAAGCCTGACTCCAAACAAATGCTGCATGTTGTCTTTCGCTTCTCTTTGAGCCAGGTGTGCAGTTGAGCCAGGTGTGCAGTTGAGCCAGGTGTGCAGTATTACTTAGATGGAGGGACGCTGCCCCGCCCGCCCATGCTCAGTGGCTGGGGGACATTATGTCCTGTCTAAGCCTTGATAAGATCCGATCATCAGTCTATAACTCAAACAAGAAGTTCCTGAAGATGAAGGGAACCGTCCCTAGAATACTTTCAAAATCTTCAGTCAAATTAAGGATTGAGTTCCCCTTTTATTTATTTTTTATTTTTTGTCGTCCAGTTGATTTTTGTCAGTAACACAGATTATAGAAGTTTATCCTTCCTTTGTTATTGAAACTCGACTTCCTGCTCCTCTGTGTAAAACTCCAGGGGAGAAATAACATGTTCTGCTCCTTGTAATATGCACATGTGCTGTAAGGTTGAAATATATATGTTGTACATTTTGGAAATGTAATACTACACTGATGCACCCACTGTAGACTATACGAATATGCATGCTGTCCATTTGTTGAAAATCTAATAAATAGATCTGAGACAAAAAAAATTCTCTAAACTCAACTAGACAGGTCAAGTCAAGAGTTTTAATTGTCTTACTGTTTGATTTTTATATATGTACCTTAACTAAACTAAAGTAAATGATCAGGAGCAGGAAAAAAGAAATCATCAGGACATCCAGCTCAACTTCTCACTGAGCTATTAGACTTCCCAAAGAGAAAAGTTAATAACACTTCAAACAGAGGTTCAGGATTAAGGCCTCCCTGATCAGTCGGCCCCCGGTGCCTGCGCCTGGTGGGTCCGTTTGATCCATCCGCGACCTGAACCGTGAGCAGGACCGGTAATCCATTTCTGAATAAATTGAAGGTGAGAAACTGGTCATGCATCTGCTGACCCACAGTTAATCTCATGTGCTGCTCAACAAGGAGTTTAGAGGCATCAACAGTTTGTTTGAAATTTCACACAAATAGTTTTGGACATATAAAAAAAGCATAATAATAATTATATAAATTAGCTTTTTGGCAGAGAGTTAGATGAGAAGATTAATTCCACTGTTTCTGTTAAATATGAAGCTAAAGTAAGGTGACCACGTGACATTTCCTGTTCGGCATCAATATATCATTAAAATATCCAGTGTTTTTACCTACAAAATAAAACGGGGACAGACCTGGTGGTGTATTTTTACAGAAGAGGATTAGGACCACACTGACTGTTGTACTGTAATAAACTTTTGTGGGGGATGCCTGATAAACTGAAAACTCTCTCACAGTTAAAAATATCCGGGGACAGCTGTAGCCCCGGACAGGACACCAGAAATGGGCACTGTCCATGGAAAACGGGGACGTCTGGTCACCCTAAGCTAAAGCTAGCAACCAATTAGCTTAACTTAGCACAAAAACCAGCTACATGGGGAAACACATAGCCTGACTGACCAAAAATAACATGAAAAATAACCCTAATAATCCCTAATTTTACAAGGGACTATATCCCAGAAACTTTGTTGACTGGGAGCAGTAACTTCCTGGAGTTTGACAACAGGTGGATTTTGTTGCCTTTGGACAGAGTCAAGCTCTTCTCACTTGTTTCCAGTATGTATGCTAAGCTAAGCTAACCAGCTGCTTCATATTTAACATACAGACATGAGAGTGGTGTCAAAAAGATAATCCTGCTTTTAAAAAGGAGGTTTCCTGACATATATCTGCTCATGAAAACTGAGCTTTCATGATTTAGTTTGGCTTATTTTCACTAGCGCAGTACCTAAAGTAGTCATTCTGATTTTTCCATCTATTGCCCCCCCCCCTCCTCTAGGCTGGTCTAACGGTGCGTGCGGTCCAGAAGTATCTGCTGGGCACAGACATGACCCTGTTCACCACGGAGCACATGGACGGCGGCGCGCCCACCCAGCCGTACCCGTCCAATTCACCGGAAGGTGGCAACACTGAGACCACAGAGACCTACCAGAGCCCACCATTCACTGAGAACAACGCAGCACCCACATATCAGGTTCCCATTTACTAGATAAGATAGACCTGATGGGTGGGGAGAGGAAGGCCGGGAGAGGGATGAGGTGAAAGTTAAAGAAAATTGCTTTCCGTGATGTTACACGTGCAGTTGTTTATGTGTTGATCTGAGCTGAGTTTTCACTAACTGTTAAAAAAAAATGGCCTCTCCTTCTTTGTTTCCTCCTCTCGTTCCCGTTCCTTCCTTTACATTCCAGCTTTCTCAGCACTTTTCTAGACCCGTATGTTGAACCTGCTTTAGCAAATCCTCAGTGTCGTCAGATCAGAGCAGATGAGAGACAGAGAAACCCGGAAGAGGAGATACAGAAGAGGAGGCCTCTTTGCAGTATTCAAACATTATTTTGACAAAAAAAAAAAAAAAGAGATGAAGGAATTAACAAGTGACTCCACCTCAGAGCAGTATTACATTACTAAATATAGCGCAGAAGGCACTCACGTTCGCCACCTTCATCTTTTCATTCATTGAAGTGTCAAATCCCCTTTCATGCCAAACAGTGACGGGGAATGTTTCTTTAGCTACAGTACGATCTGGCTGCCGCCCCCCCCCCTCCCTGCTGCAGTTACAAGTGATCATGTGTATTGAATCTGCATGTTTCCAAACTTAGAGATCAACTAAGTGCCATACTGTACTGTGTGTCTCAGACAGTGACTTAATTTAGTAGATTTCCACATGCTGTAAAAACAAAAACAAAAAAAACAAATGACGACAATGTTTTGTGACCAAGTGCAATATCTCACGTTCTTATGTAGGTAGGTATAAACTGTACTACAGGTAGGCTAGTTACCATCAGATTAGACCAGCTTCAGGCACTGTCTCAAATTACTTACGAGTCTTTGAATTGTACTCACAAATCTCAGGCAAATGTGACACATTGAATTTGTTTATCTAAATTGTCGACCTTGGATTGAACAAGATTGGTGAAGTTTGTAAGATACAGATGTTATATATATCCAGAGAAGACTTTCTGATGAAGCTGTTATATAAACAAGTACCTCGTCGCGATAGCCTAACATGTGATTCTGGTTTTCACAGTTTGATCACTCTCAAGTTTCATTGGGGATCCAACCTACAACACAGAAAATCACTTTTTAGTCTGTTAGATGTCTGTCTCAGGCATGGATGGATTACTAAAGGGCTCATCAGGTCCAGGCCCAGGGGCCAGAGGAGACAGGGGGGCCCTGTGCTGGAACCTCTGTTTGAAGGGACTGTTAACATTTCTTATTAGAGAAAATCAATCATGAATACTACGACTACAGCGACTGTGAAAAGATGCAAGATGACCCCAAAGAGACAGAAAAAGACAACAAGTGACAACAAAGAGACTGAAGACAGCTACAAAGAGACTGAAGACAACTACAAAGAGACTGAAGACAGCTACAAAAAGAATGAAGACAACTACAAAGAGACTGAAGACAGCTACAAAGAGACTCAAGACAGCTACAAAGAGACTCAAGACAACTACAAAGAGACTGAAGACAACTACAAAGAGACTCAAGACAGCTACAAAGAGACTAAAGACAACTACAAAGAGACTGAAGACAACTACAAAGAGACTGAAGACAACTACAAAGAGACTCAAGACAGCTACAAAGAGACTAAAGACAACTACAAAGAGACTGAAGACAACTACAAAGAGACTGAAGACAGCTACAAAGAGACTAAAGACAACTACAAAGAGACAAAAGACAACTACAAAGAGACTGAAGACAGCTACAAAGAAACACAACAACGACAGAAAGATGTGAAATGACTAAAACGAGACTCAAAATGACCACGGCTTTCAGTGTGGGGGGGTCTGGGTCCTGAGCAGGGTGAGGGTCAGGGTCTGTGCCCAGGGCCTCATTGTCTCGTAATCCATCCATGCCAGGGAGCGTGTGCAGTGGGTTATTTGAGACAGTGTGCTATGCCGAGTGTGGTATGTATAACATGGTGGCGTGGGGAGATTCTGGGGAAGTCAGGTCTGTTTATGTTTACGTTTTAGAAGCTGCCAAACTGCCCTGTGTTCTTATTGCTGTCTTTTGATTACCACATTACTACTATGTTGTTACTGTCTATGGGATTTTATGTAATCACAAAGCAGGAGTGGGGGGTGGGGGGTGGGGGCAGCAGATGAGCTTTTATTCAGTGAGGGCGGTCAGGTCGCCGGATGATTCAGTACAGTCTCAGGCAAAAGAAAAAAACCTGTGTGTGGGAGGTCAGGGATCGCTAGCTGGCTAATTCATCGATCCTGCAACCCCGCCATTGAGGGGGGGTGGGTCCGAATTTGTTGCCATGGTGACAGAGACGGGGGTTAGGTAGATGTGGGTTACTAATGATGTAGATAGTAATCATGCCAACTATGTGAGTGTGTAACCGTGTCTCTGTGTCGTGGTTCACGTACACTTGCCATCAGTGAATCTGTAGTTTTGGTTTATGTGTGTGTGTGTGTGTGTGTGTGTGTGTGTGTGTGTGTGCGTGAGAGAGAGTGTATTAGCATGCATGAGAGACGTGTAAATCCGTGTGTGTGTGCAGTTAATTAAATTTTGTGGTGCATCAAAGTTATTTTCTTGAACATGTGTTTTAGTGCAGAGGAAGAAATCATAAGTCTCAGTTCCACCATTTAATAAATTCCCCAGAAGAAAATTAGTCTTTCTGCTAAATATATTATATCAGTGTCACTGTCGAGATACGTCAAGTTATGAAATGACTTTTTTTTTCTATTTTTATGTTTTTGATGAAAGAGCCAAATATAAAAGTTGATATTAGAGAGATATAATTGACCTGTAGAATGCCTTGCCTGCTCTTCTTCTCCCGTGTAAACAGCGCCCTCTGCTGACCACAGGAGGCTCTGCTGCAGCGGGACGACTGAGGCTCTCTTGAGTTTTAAAAGTAATCATGATAATAATGCATGAAATCGTTGTATAGGACTCATTATATATTGAATACTATGTAATTCTTAAGTTGACTCCAAAGTGTTTTTTTTTTTTTTTTGCAAAGTGAGATTCGCCATCAGTCAATGCAGCTGACAGGATTCCTTCTTGTGTTATATTAATCACAGTTCACGGTCAGAGCGGTACGCCCAAACAACACCCGAAAAAAAAGTACTGCCCCACAAAGCCCATTGTATTGGGGGTCAGATTTTCTTCTGCATCCAGGAACCTCACTTTAACCTGAGCCCAGAATCCATAAGCTAACAGCTAGGATGCTAACAGACAGAAGAAGCTAAGACAGAGAATAAAATCCCAGTGTGAAGGGTTATTTACTAAGACACATAACCTCTTCTTCTTATTATTAGATATAACAGTATAGTTGTAGAGAAACAGCTCTTTAGGCAAATGGAAATAAAGCCTCGTCTACAAAGTACAAAAATAATTTCAGCCTTGTAAAACCACTTGTTTAGGATTTTATTCACCAGACTGTCTGTGAATTAAGTGAGTACTCGTTTTAAACTGAGGGTTAATCCGGTCGTACTTTCTTTCAGGGTTCTGGTTCGGGACGGGGTGTTGGATGACCGGGTGGGGTTTTTAAGTTGGGTTGATTTCCAAATACTTTCAGGTAACTCGGGGTGCGACGCGCCGTCCAATCTGTGGTGCAGTTAAAAGGTCTACACTCGTGGCTTTTTCATGTTCAGTACAAACTACTGCCAACTGTTTCCCCAACTTTCTCCTCAGTCTCAAAACTCAAACACGTGTGTGTGGGGTGAGTTTTCAACTCAGACTCCTCCTCACAGGTGCCGTGTTGTAATGATGAAACTACACAATATTAAATGGTATGATCCGTTAAGTTATTTATGGCTATTTGATGTATTTACACTTACATCTCTGTGTAGTCGTTTGCATCATTTCCTGTGCCGGACTTAAACTGGATTCAAGTTAAATAAATATTAATAGTGATAGATTTAAGTTTATTTTAGCTCCCATAGAAACCCATTTAAAAATCTAATAATGTAAAGTATGAAGATGCTGAAATATGAGAAACCACCAGTATAGTCCTCTACATCTCAGCTGTTACTGGGCTGCTAGTCTCCAGCGAGGCGGTGGGGTGTGACTGGGGTAGGATGGAGGCATTACTGGGGGAACCGCTGGGTAGTTTGGGGTGCTGTCAGGTCAGGTTGTATTATTGTTCTCAGTGCTTCGGTCTCTTCAGTCAAGTGTGGTAGATAAAAATAATAATACAAGCATTTTCTGTGTTTCGTGCTCCGGCCCATGTACACTACCGTGGTATTGGTTGATTGTAAAATTCAGTATGTTATTGAAGTAAATGGAACCTGTGTGTGATGATGTCCAGGGTCTGGTTTGTCCTGTACTACTGAAAATAAAAAATAATATTGATAATGATTATTTATGATCTAGAATGCACTCTTTGTTGGAGATACTTTGTTTGACCACTATTAAAGGGGCCGTCGGCACCAAAATCAAAGTTTTATGTGATCACACCGTCGTTTTGTTAGACTGACATAAAAGGTTATGACATGTAGTAACGCCGGTGACATCAACTATGAGGTCAATATTACAACATCTCCCCCATTAATGCAGATGATGAAAGAAAAAAAAAAAACCCTAACCCCATTGAACAAACAAGTAAACATTGATTTTGTCGTGTGCTACCCCTTTAACTTGTTTCTTCTGAGTTGTTTCTTCCTGTTCTGAAGGCGTTTGAGCTCTTCAGTGTAAAAACGCCGTGTACAGAGATGTGTGTCACTGTCTATTAGCTGAATGTCTCTGGACTGCAGTCTGACCGTCACTCCAATAAAAAAAGATAACATGTTTTGGACTGCCTGTTTCTGTGCCTGAGTTTAATGTGTGAAGTTTGTTCCATTTTTCAACGACATACAATTTTTTAAAATCAACAATTAAGACTTGGAATCAAAGTTGGCGCTCGCTGACAAACGATCAAGATTTCTTTTCAGTATTTCGGGGATGAAATGAAGGAAGTGGCAGTTAAACAGAATCATTAAATGGTTTCAATCCAAACAAATTCCCCACATTTCATGAGCTGACAGAACACCGCTGCAGTTCTGTTTAGCTAGTTTTTGCTTTCCCCACATACGCATTTATAACACCGCCGTTCAAAAACACAAAACAAGATTATTAAGGCTGCAGCTATCAATTAATCTGCCAATTATTTTTTCATTCGTTTGTTATTTTGGTCTTTAAAACATTTTTTATCATAATTCAAAGAGAAGAAAAGCAGCAAAGATCCTCTGGAGAAATTTTAATCGTTATTAAAATGGCTACCGGTTAATTTTCTATCGGCTAATTGATAAACCATTTGTCTAAAGAATATGATCATCCATACATGTTACTCTGTCTCTGTCACACACACACACACACACACACACACACACACACGGGTCCTGAGGGAGAAGATGAACAGATGCAGCAGTGCCCCCTAACAAACAGGAAACATGTGCAGTGTGTCAAAGCTTTAATTTGAGACTGTAGTGGTGGGAAAGACTTTTTTTGTGTTGCCAGCATGATCAGATCCACAACTCATTTTTATAAAGAAACGTATAACATAATAAATAAAAGGGAGCTCCTGGGATCCTCAGTGGTTAACATCATCCCACCCGCTCCTCCTTAAAAAGGAGATCTACTGTTTGAAAACAGGCGAGGACTCTTTGATCGTTAAGGTCTTTAGTTTCCATTTAACACCTGATTAACCAGTCCACCTGTCAACCATTAAACCAGATCTACTGGTGAGTGACTCGAGCAGAATCATTGAAAACAGAGTAGAAAACATTTAAAGTGTGAATTTGTACCGATTCCGGAAGCAGCCTCCGTCCCGTCACTCACCCTCCTGCGTGACGCCTCCGACAGGAAACGATCCGCTCACTTCCTCCGCACGAAGCAGCCAGCTGTTAAAAGTAATTAACCAGCTACACTTAAATAAATATGGTTCTAAAATGTTGAACTGAACATGTTTGTGTTTATTCTGTTATTTAACCAAGCGGCCCCTCGGGGGAATTATACATAACTTTATCAACTCTGCTGTTGACAAAAGACATTGTTGTTATCTGTGTGAAAGCACAAAGCATGGTACAAAATGCAAATCAACATTACTTTGTATTGGGGAGCAAAAAATTATTCAAGTAAAGCCTTTTGCTCGTGTCTCTGCTGTCATTAAATAAATGGATAGTTCTGGTTGGACGTTGCCGGCGCCAGTGCCAGCTGGAGACGTCCTCAAAGGAGGCCAGTTGAAAGAAGAGTTGAACCGTGTCTAAACTGTAAAACCATTCACACAAACCTATCAATGTAATCCTCAGCAGAAAGTAAAAACATCATACACCTTCTTAAATTCACCTTCGACGTGAGATCTGGGCCCCGGCTCCTCCGAGGTGAGCGGGCTGTTCTCCGCTCTGGCTCCTGCGGGGGCAACTGAAAATCTGCCTCACAGAGGGGAAACCAGGGGCTAGCTAATGATACGGCTAATTGACTGCAAGGAAGGGAACTCCTCACTCTCCCTGATGTGCAGGGTCTTGTGGGAGTTGAAGTCTTTGGGAGCCAGTACCTGTCTGCACGTGGGGCACACCTGACAGTCCAGCTCAGCCGCTACGTTAGCCGCCGTGGCGGGCGTCTGCCAGGCGTTCTTCTTGTTCTTGTTCTTCTTTCCTCCTCCGGCCCCCGACTGCTTCTCCAGGGCCTTACAGTCTCCGTGGGCGCTCAGCAGCTCCTGCTGCTTCCCAGTGTCCGGCAACAGCACCAGCAGCTCATTGAAGATGCGGTTGAAATCATCTCCGAGCAGGTCCTTACAGCTGCGGTGATACTGGGCGGCGGATATCACACCCTGGGAACAAGCACACAATTCCTGGGATTGAGCTAAATTTCACCAGTTATCAGCCGGTTAATAACAAACACAGAGAGCAGACAAGATCATGGACGGAGGATCAAGACGGTGTCAGTTAACAGGAAATCAAATGAAACCTCCGACATTACGGACACAACAGGAAGTGTGTCAGTGTTGAGTTTTAGTGGTAATTTTGTCACAATGACTGAGACCGACGTTACATAAATAACAACGCTTGTTGCCGTGCAGCGTGTGAGCTGCAAGGTTTCATGATAATCACAACATCTTCACCTGGTTGAGGTGAGCAGATGGCTGAGGGATTAAAGCGCTCGCTCTTAGCTATAACACGTTTTCTGATCAGAGAGTCATCGGTTCTGTTCATGTCTTTCCCTACTCTCTGTCTGCCGTCACTGTCCTATCCAATGAAGTCATTAAAGTGCCCCCCCCCCCAGATTTAGGTGGTCTGTGAGTTTAATGGTTTAGTGGTTAAGTGCTCTGAAAAAGTCTGAGAAACACTGATCTAAAAAGAAAGGTCAGAACTGAGGTGAGTACCTGTCTGAACTGTGCAGAGTAGTTTTTGAACTGGTTGAACTTTGACTCGTCGTTGTGGAGGTACTTTCTGATGGACTGGATCAGCTCCAGGTTCCTCTGCTGGAAGTCCTCTGGCACTAGGTAACCGCTGCTCGACACCTTGGGGGGGCTGGGGGCAGAAAAAGAAAAAGAAAAGACAATTTGTACGAAAGAACAGCAACATCAAGAGAAGACGTATGAAAAGGGAAGCGGCTTACAGGTTGACGGCAGAAGGAGCAGGTTCCACCACGTTGCTGTTGAGGGGGATCCCAGTGAAGCCTGGGGGGGGCTTCGGGGCTGAGACTCCCAGACCAGGTGGGGGTGGGGGCATTGTGGAGGATGGGGCAGGAGCTGAGGCCTTCATTGGGAAGGAGGTCTTGAAGCCTGATGGACAAACACAGCGTGAGCTACTTCTCTTCAGTCAGCGGGTGTCCTCCTGCAGAGCCCCGCTTCCTCTCCATTTGAAATCCAACTCAGAAAACAACTCATGCCAACTACACCGGCGTGAAGCGACAGAACACCACCCTCGCCTCTGTGTTTAAACAACGCTGATATTTGGTCCCGAGTTTCAAGACGTTGGGAGTCGCGCGTCTGTACACCTTTGGTTTTTAGAGAGATTTATAAGACGCGTTGAAAAGCTTTTCTTGCACTTAACGTAACGAAGGATCAGCTCGTCTCTGCTCTGCTCCGTGTGTGTGGGGAGTACGGACGTCACGATACTAGAATATTAGTGTAGTAGAGCTCAAACACCAGTTTCTTCCTCGATTATCGATACCAAATTCATTACCACAGCAAAAAACAGAAACACAGCGACAGACCGATGGTGTGAAAGTACAGCAGCGAGTTCATTTAAAAAGACGGCGTTACATTTAGACTGAACAGTAATGACAGTAGCCTGCTAACACTGTGGACACCCAGCTCACGTCATGAGCTGTTAGCTTTAACTAGCCAACGTTAGCCTTTGTGAACAGGTGCCAGCTATTGCCGTTCACAAACAATAACTAATATTTCCTTTTCCCAAGGAGATAAATCAAGTATCTATCTATCTATGAGCTGCTTAGATAAGTTAGATCAGTTTCTTTGGCAGACATGTTGCTACACATGCGACGGCTGTCACACACAATGAAACAGAAAGCAGGAGAGGAGAGAAATAACAGACACAAACACGAGCCTCAGTTCATCACAACATCCAGGAAAAACAGAGAAAATGTCAAATGATCATTTAAGTGTTTTGTGGATATTGGCATGCTCATCGTACCTGGTGGAGGTTTCTTGGTCATGAGAGCAGGAAACTCTTCTTCCTGCTCAAGAGGGGGGTCTGTGTTGGGGTGAGGCGTTACCGCAACGGCCTCCTTGCTAACGGGTGGCGATTTCTCAGGGTGGCCGTTCACCAACCCGCCGGTCAGCGCCGCTGTCACAGAGCTGGAGAGAGGTTTGTTGCAGGTTTTCTCAGGGACGTTTTCCTTCTGTGCAGCTGTTTCCACTGAGATGGTGTTTACAGTTGTGGCTGTGGTTGAGGACACAGACGTGGAGGGAGCCGCCGTGTTCTTCTGCTGTTTTTTCTTCTTGCTGGCTTTGGAGGTAGGGGTATCGGTGTTGGGGGTGGGGTTTGAGGAGCTGGAGGTCACGGTGGAGGGTTTGCTGTTGCCTCCTTTGACCGTGAGCAGAGAGGAGATGTCCAACATGGTGGGCACCGAGCGGAACTCCTGCTGCGTCATTCCTCCGCTCTCATCATCGGAGAAAGGAGGAGACCGGGTAGATGCTGCCTTCCCATTCTCTCCCACTTTCTTTTTCCTCCTCGACGACGCAGAAGTTGAGGAGGAGAGGAGCTGGGGGCCAGAGGGCGCGGATGAAAAGTTAGGGGGAGGTCTGGAGGAGGGAGGGGGATGAGTCATGGGTTTAGCCACAGCAGTATTGTTGGACCACGCAGATTTGGTTCCTCCTGTAGGTTTGAGGGGCCGGATTTTGGACACGAGGGCGGGGAAATCCTCCTCTTGGAAAGAGGAAGTCTTCCTGGGTTGGGCAGAGTAAGCTGGGGTCATGGGGGACGCGACAGCAACAGCCGAGAGGCTCGGGAAGTCGTCTTCCTTCAAAGCTGCGCGGGCGGCTGGAAGCACTGCAGGGGCCGACTTCACTCTGGAGGGAGACGCACGATAAAAGACAGACATTGAACATTTCGGCACATCACAGCGCACGAGGACAATTTCAGTTTGTGTTGTGTGTAAAACATTACATGGATGCTGCAGCCGTGGCTCCCAGAGCTGGGAAGTCATCCTCTTCTCCTGGATTACTGCTCTTCATTGTTCTTACTGTGAAAGAGGAGACAACAAATGTGTCAGAGGCCCCGTTCACACCTGGTTTAAACGTGTCATCAGTGATCCGATCACAGGTAGTCAGCTCTGAGTGTCAGTTCACACTGGGATTTAAAATGTGTCTCCAGTGACGACTTGTGATCGGATCTCACTTCTCCACTTTACACGCAAATAAACAGGTATGTGTTGTTGTTTTTAGCCCATCGACAGACGGGTCTGTTGTCAATCATCACTGAACGATGATACTGACACACGCTGCAGCGCATCAGCTGGTCAGTACAGCTGTAACTTTCTTCACCTGGAGGTTTGCTTGTTGGTTTGATGTGTCCGGTCCTGTGTCTGGGCTCTTCTGGTTCTGGTCTCTCCGTCCTCTCCTCTCGGCAGTGTTTGGGAGCGCTCCTCTCCTGCACGGCGCCTCTCTCCTCCTGTCGACGCATCGCCATGGACGCCCTCATAGCAGCTTCCATCTGCCTGTCCTCGTCTTCTCTGCACGGACAGACACATACTCGCATTCAATCAGAAGCAACAAGAAACCAATGACGTGACGAAAATAGCCTGGAAATTTGCACTGAAACATCACTGCACGCACACGCACACACACGGACACACCTCGGCAGTACAAGCGGCGACAGTGTCAGCCAGCCATTCGTTAAATATTTTCCATGTTCACTCCCCGTCACAGCCACTGGATACTGATCTAGTCAACACAGAACTGGCCACTCAGACTCACCGAGAATATCTCCAGCTCTTCTGTCCCCCATGAGGCCGTCCTCTTCCTCCTCGGTTGTGACGCACCTCCTCGTAGTCCTCGTCGGTCACCATACCTGAGGACACACACACACACACACTCGTTTGCCTCCTGACCACAGTTATATGGGTGTGTCTCCCTCTCACAGACACAAACGCAGCATCCTCACCGACCTTCATTTCTCCTCTGTTGTCTCGGGGCGTAGTTGAACTGCAGGTCGATGTGGCGGTTCTGTCGAGCCTCGGCCCGGTTCTTGCTGTGCGCTGCAGCTTTGTGCGCCTTGTAGTCGATCTCAGTGCGAAAAGCATGGGTGAACTGTTCTGTGGCGCAGCGGCCTTCCTCACACAGGTAGTGACTCTCTCTGAAGTGCTCGCTCAAGTACTGGTAATCACTGTTGACAGCAGGTTTAAAAAGAAAAATTTTAACAACTGGCTTCACTATTCTCCCGTTCAGTGGATGATTCATGACCAAACACGGATTGTTTTCTGTGTGTGTAACTGCTTCAAACACCTGTAGTATTCCTGAGAACCGTCTGCGTCGCAGAAGTGGCAGAAGAAGTGGTCCCTACGCAAGTGTTTCAGCAGCTCATCATTATCAAGGTAACGGTCATCGCAGAACTTGCAGAGTGGGTGTCCTCGGTGACTGGTGTCGTCTGGGTCTCCGTGCGCTCTGTGACGTGCCAGTTCCTTACGGTTGTACCACTTCCGCTCATGGGCGAAGATCTGGCAGGAGAAGTAAAGTTTAAAGAACGAGGATCTGACGAATGAACCCGTCTGTCATGGCTGGACAGGGAATCGTGAGCACTGGGAGAAATCCTGCTGCATCAGTGGGCCGTGAGAAAAAACCATAAAGTTTCTACTGTCCCTGTCTGTTTCTTTACCGGCCCTCTCTCTGTGTGCCTGTCATTTGGGGTGCGCAGAGCATGGTGCGTGTATGGTGGGACAATTTCTGCCCTCACCAACTTGTTATTTATTTGACACAACATGAAGCAATAGAGCTGTATATATTGTTCAGTTATTTATTTGTCATAAAGTACAATAACGTAAAATCTTACAATTAAAATATTTGCATTGGAGCACGGCACATATGGTATTATCTACTGATTAATTTAAGAATGCCACAAACAACCTGTTCTAGGAACAATTAGATCTATCAACTATAACTGTAAGTTGTTAACGTAATTGCAAACACTTACAGTTGTGAAAATGTTATGATTTCTCCTTTAACTACTGACAAGTAGGTGTACTGATGTTTTTACTGTGTGCAATAACTGAAGTTGGCGTTGTACTGTGAGAGATATTCTGTAATTGACTTGTGTTGTTATGGTCAAGTACCGTTGTCAAAGACAATGCTCTGATGCCCCCAGCTGGCACAAAAGGTAAACTGCATATTTTAAGCATAAGTATTTTAGTTATCTACAGATTATTCTTTTTTTTTTAATTTATGATTTTTGCCACAATTGGTCGATTCCTAAAAATTCCTCAGCTCCCCAGAGTGCTTCCTGGCTCTGAGCTGATCTTATTAGTGGTACACAATCATATTGTATGTACTGTACGTATACTACACTTGCAAAATCAATTCTAAAACTGGTCAGACAGACAATTTCTCAATTTCAGTCTTGAGTGTGATTAGTCTGTTAAATTTGGAAGGACTGTGTATACCTTGAGGTGCTTTGAGCAGAGCTTGCAACAGAAGAGCTCGTGCTGCTTCCTCATGTGCTGCTCCAGCTCCTCAAACCTGGAGAAGACCTTAGGCTCTGAGCAGCGGACACACTCTGACAACAGCAGATGCCTGATAACAAACAAACAGACAAACACACAAAAACAAACACAAACACACACACCAGGAGAATGTTTGATCAGATTTGAGGGCTAACGCGATCACAAACCACAGTCAGTATTTAAAACCAAAACAAATGAGTTACTTTCACCCTTGCTGCATGCAAACTTTGGTCAACACATGCACTTTAGACTGACCAGCTTTTCTAAGTGGGAGACAGAAGAAGCAAAAACAAGAGCAAAGAACAGACTGTTGCATCATGAGGAAACAGCACTGGAGGGTTTTCCTCATTTACGCTGCTACTTTGAGTCATAACACTTGTGGCTGTGTATGTTTCCAGTGATTCATCTATTAGACAAAGAGACGTGAGCACTGTAGTGGAGAAGCACGATATTATCAATGTGCGTATATACGTATACATTTTCTTAAATATCAATTTAATTATACTGTGTATTTTCATATGTCTGCACTGCAGTACACTGAACACAGTAACAGATCACCTAACTTCAGTTTTGCTATGCACATATGCACATGTGAGAACTCTGCCTAACACATGAAATCAGGTTCAGGTTTAAAAAGGTATAGTTCAGGTTCTGCTGAACTACCGTATTCCTATGCACAAACACATCTAAGGAGCACACTGTGTTACGCCGCTTTCCGATTCACTCAGCTGACCTGCGGCGTAATACAGTGCGCCCCGTAGGTGAGCCTTTGCGTAGGAATAGTGGTTGAAGACATGTCGTGCCAAAGGAAAGTGCTGTTTTCACGGGAAGATAAACCGCTGAAAATATTCTACATGATGCTTCATTTAAACAGATATTGGATTGTTTCGGTGGGTGTTTTTAAAAGTGTCTAAGCATGTTTTTTCTGGTGGCCACGCCCACAGCAAAACATCACTCTACTAGTCTGATGGTGCCCCCCTTTTGGCTTTCCTACCCGGGAGTGCACTGAACAGAATCTACTGCAGGTAATGAACCGACTATATACGACTACCTCACACAACCCTACGTCAAAAAACCATGTTGAACAAGTTTCTGTTTTGCTTTTCTGAACCTGAAAGTTTAGCCCAATTTTGCGAGTGCACACAATTTGGCAGGTAGTCTTTTCCGTATCCTTTTCCTGTCAGAACATGATTTACATGTTTAGGCATTTTCATGGATGTATTCAAGTTGACTTTTGATTTTGTCATCAGACCAAATTATAATTAAATATTTAGTCTCCTCCTCTCCCCATGTACCAGCGGGGCTCATTTTTACTTCTCTTCTGGATGTTTTACTTCTTCTGTTGTTTAATGGATGATGAGCCTGCTTCAACTTCCTGCAATTCTGAACCATCCAAAAAAACCTGCTATTTTGGTTCAAACCAAACTGAAAAGTCCAAGGCCTGGACCAAACAAGACACCCTTCATCTCTTACCCTGATTATGAACAGACACATGTGACCATTTGACAGGTGGTTGCTGACAGCTTCAACTTGGTGAGAAACAACCATTACAAATCTATTGGGCAACACAATCATAAACAGCGGAGCAGAACAGTACCTGTACTGGGCATAGATCTTCTCGTCACCAAAAAAGATGTCATGCTTCTTCTCACAGGGGAACTGCTGGTAGGGCAGAGACGAGAAGGCATCCGGTTTTTTCACGAACACGACCTGAGAACAACATGACAGTCGGTAAGAATAAGAAGTGATGAAAATCTCCTGCCAGTGACACTCTTTGGGGGAAGTGGAGGGTAAATAAGGCTGTAGTACACTGTTGATATAATTACTTAGATTATATATATATTAGATACTTAGGCAAGTTTTACAATAACATTTATCAGTAAAGAATTTGGTAAAAAACATTGTTCAAGCCAGAAAATGCTGACCACGTACCATGTTGTCTAACAGCCACATTATGTAATGTGTAGGGTAACCTATGGAATTATGGGAATGCATTCACTTTATACAACCCAGCCAAGACAAACAGTAACATACACACTTCATGCTCAACCGTACAAAGCAGTTAAAAACATTTTTGACATTTACAACATGCAGCTCATAATGTTGGTTTAACAGCAGCTGGATTTACTTTTGAAGGGAGTGGTTCACACTAAGGGCCCTGGTATTGACACTGTCCAGCTGAGCTGACAAGTTGGCTAAAGTCCATTAAGCTGCCTGACTTTGATAGGAACCGACTTCTATGGGCAGGAGGTGAGCGGTCCACAGACGGTCACTTTTAAAAGGTTTAGAGTTGAAATACACAGCAGCCGATAGTAAGTAGCATCTGAGGAGCCACCCAGCACCAGTGAACCGCTGAACGTGCTCAGGCTGCTTAACGTGAAAGTTGACAGCTGACATTTTCTATTACAGTTCACTGATTCACAAACTCACTGTCACATTAAGTAAAGGACAGAAAACTAGCAACGCCACTTAAACCAGCACACTAACGGAGGCCAACTTGTCAGCTAGCTATACCTGACTTAAGGTAGAGCTAACTGGCTAACCTACATTTATGGACTTGCTAGTGTTAGCGTTAGCTATCTTAGCTAAGCTAATGACAGCCCAAAAAGTAGTCTGAGCAGTTGGCAGGCACCGTTGCATGACATGTCTTATTAACTAACACTGCTTTTCATTCACTGTGAATCCAGCTAAGATTTTACGATTCAAATTCAGCTTGTTTTTTTTTCTAAAATAAAAGTACCAGGACGATGGGCCTAGCTAGCACCACCAGGCGCCATCCCCGAGGTACAGTAGCGGGGCAATGCGCACCTTGTCGAGCTCCTCCCGGCATACGGCGCAGTACTTCTGCTCGCACAGCACTCTCATCTTGGTGGAGCAGCGGTAACAAACCGGGTGGTCGCATTTTCCTAAGGCGAAGATATCGACTTCCTGGCAGCACAGAACGCAGTGCTTCTCTGTCTCCTTTGTGGGTGTTGGATCCATGTTGGTGAAAAGGCACAAATCAACCTTAATACTATTTGTTATTGCGGAGAGACACAGCCGCTGAAGTGCTTACGTAATTATGAAAGTCTCTGCTACTGCCGCGTCACGTAACTGATGTAGTTGTGCGATCTGTATTGCATAGGGATGGACTAACCCCCGCCACACTGCGGAGCTGCTTACACCTGTCGCACTTGTGTGTATCTGCGCACGCGACAAGACGGCTCCACGTGTGTAGCACGGTGTGTGCCGGTCTGAGCTGATGCTGATATGAGACACTGTACTAAGGGTTTTAACATGTGGCTCAGGGTGCTGGAAAAGACACATATGTCAGTAGTTCTCTGGATTTTTATGCTGATGAAGGTTAGGAGAAGATAACTTTTTAATACACGTTATATCTCTAATTTAACTAATTAATTTTTTTAATGCTATAAATTCATAAAAACCAGACTTTTAGTGGCCTGTTCCCAACTACAGGTGTTAAAATCAGAGTTAAAATCAGAGTGATCCAAATAATTCTTTCCTTATTTTGTTGTTGTTTGTTAGCAGAGAAAAAGGTTAGCTGGCTCACTCCTTGGTCAAGAGCTCATAACCCCCCCCCCCCCGAAACTTGAAAAAAAACTGTTTTGATATTGGAAAGTGAAGAAGATACACTTCGAACTAAGTAATGTAAATAATCGAGGAATAGATCAACAATTGGACTTTGTAATAGCTTCAAAGGTAGGGAGTCGTTGTTTTATCAGTCGTCCTTCACAATAGTTTATTACAGTACAACAGTTACCATAGTCAAAATACACAAAACCAGGACTTTCCCCCTTTTTATATTTGTGTAAAAACATTGGATAGTTTAATGATAATTTGATGCCAATCTGGAAATGTCACTGGTTTTCATTTCAGAAATGTGGTCACCTTACAATAAATTAAATTTGTGATTCTTTCTTGGCCTTTGATTGCAGAAATTAGTCTTTTTTGGGTTTATTCTCAACTGCTTTTAATGAAATTCAATCCTGAAATTCAGATCAAAGAAGTCTCATGCTGCCTAAAGTAAGTTAGAGGGGAGCAAAGAGGAGAACTGTTTGGTCCCACCCAGGTCAGCTGAGCATTGGGCATTTGCATTTTTAGTACCAGAAATACATCAGATGGAGAGAAACTGCTTAAAGCTGAGTAGATAACAGATGGGGAGGAGAGAGAGCATCTGATTATCACAGTAGAGGTGACTGATGCTGTTTTTTTTTAAATCATGTGTGGATGGATGGATCACACTATGATGGTGTTGGTATGGGTGTGAATCTCAGGTAGGACTGGTTTAATTATGGATGTGTGAAAGGTGCAAAACCATAGAGTAACATTACCAAATTTAACTCCTGCATTGAAAACTTGGCTTCAGTTATTAATATTAAAATGTGTATCTCTTTCTAACTAAATGCCCCTGTGTTTCAACTCCCTGCCCCCAGTTCCCGATGCAGACGTGACGTCCCAGCTTAGAGATGAAGTCGTCATTAGGTTTATCTTGAGGTAATGTTTAGGGTGTTTGTAAGGAAGTTAATACCAAACTGTCTTTTTTAAAAATCTGTTCACAAATGCCGGCTTGTAAATTTCATGTTAGGACAAACAGACGTGTCCGTGTATGTCAGCATGAAAAAGAAAGGAAAAGAGTCTTTAAATGGTTAAAGTTGTAAAGCCCAGATTGTTGGTTGATTTCAGTTTTTATTGAGTCATTCAGGAACTGAATGGTTTCCAGTTGGTCTGGCAGAGTAAAGATGTAAAGATAATAAAGAAATAACTAGAATCACCTCCTCGTGGCCGTATCCCTCCGCCACTTAGACTAGTTCCAGGTTACATCCCTGTTTATCCAGTCATAGAAAATATGAACTATTTGTGTGAAATTGTCATAGTTGCTGTGTGAAGTCTTGAGTAATGGCTAAAGTCTTTTCTGAGGTCACCGTGACTTTCACCTTTGACCTTTGACCCCCAAAATGTAATCAGTTCATCCTTGAGTCCAAGTGAATGCTTGTGCCGAATTTGAGGAAGTTCCATCGAGGCATTACTGAGATATTGTGAGATACACATCGACAAGTTCAGGTCTGGAGGTGAGTCTCCTCTCCTGGACTGTGGAATCTCAGGCTCAGCTACAATCACCTGCTCAGCTGACACACCTGCTGGACTCACCTGCTCCGGTGAAAGAGGAGCTGCAGCCTTGATTCAATTTCATTTCTGTTCTAATGAAACTCACTGTACTTCCCTCCAGTAATGACTGTGATGATGTCATGTTGGTGGGAGGACACAGCGTGTACACTTAAAATGAAACAGTCTATTTCCTGAGAAAGGAAAGCGTTGCTGTTTCTTTGTCTCTCTAAACTTGGACGGAGGGTTTATGACTGCATGAATTCAGTGTTATCAATCCTTTTCATCACTTCAACAACACATTAAGAGAATCTTTTTCCTTAACAACAACTTTAACTGTAGAGCAGTTACAGGATGAAGTGAGGGCCTCTAAAGGTTTTAGGCTTAACAGCAGCTTCTGAACACATGATGTTGTTTCCTCTGATGTGATGACTGTGAATCTGTTTCAGGACTTCTAACACTTTCATTGTTCCACTGCTCGTGTTTCTGCTGACTCCGCAGTTCATGCAAATTCAGTCTGTGTATATTTAACTGAAGACAGAAGCGATGTGTGTAGTTTCGTCTTTTCAGGCCACCAGGATCCAGAACCCAGGCAGACCGCAGGGCACTGAGCCGGACTACGGCGACCTTTGTGTTTCCAGTGTCAGGTGACAGATTCCCAGGGTGCCCCCGCCGTGGCATCTGTAAACAGTGATTAATACGGTTCATCAGTGCTTTCATGCAGTCAATCGTCCATGGTAGTGAGGTGTTTTGCTAGCTAGTGCTTCTTGTAGTGGTTGTTGCTCAGTCCCATGACTCTGAAGGTGCAGCTGGAGATCTTCTCATACAGCAGGAACATGAGGGCGGCAGTCAGCACCGTCTGCAGCAGTTTGGCCTCCAGGCCTTTAAACAGGCCCAACATGCCATACTTCCTGCAGCAGGGAATCAGGATCAAAACAGAACAACTATGTTAACTACTCACATCTTTATGAGAATGTATTGTCTTATTGATTTGCACTCCCCAAAAGCATTAGAAAGAGTTGCATGATTGTGGATATAATAATAAAGTCAGTGAGTTGGAGGCCAGATATATTCAAAGCAATATCAGGTCGTGTTTAGAAAATATGTCTGAGGTTCGTGTTGGTGTGATTTTAAATGATGTAAAGGGATATTTGAAACCTGATTTCTCTCTCCGAGTGACACAGAAAAACAAATGCATGCTTTTACATCCAGAAGGACTTGACTATTGTTTTGCTCTCCTGTCTGTGAACCAGCACGGCCTCTCGGCTCCTCGGGCACAAGTCTGTTAGTGTTTCCAAAGTGCAGAACTAAAACCTTCGGCGAGGCAGCTTTTAGCTTTTACGCTCCGAGCTGCTGGAACAGTCTCCATGACGACCGTAGAGCAGCAGGAAGTGTTGAAATGTTTAAACATAAACTCAGAACGTTCTTCTTCCGCCTGGCTTTTCATTAAATATGGTTTTTAGTCATTAGTCATTTTATTTTATTCACTTATTCTGTTGTAATTATGTTATAAGTTGTATTTTCTGTGTTTTACCTATTCTTTTATTATTTTATTTTATCTTTTCTTTTATTATTAATTTTCAATTATTTAAATTTTTTATTAATTGTTTTAAAAATCTATTTTATTGTATTTGATTCTCAGCTTTCTTACGTGATTTTTCATTTTCTTTTCAGCTCATCAGTCCGTGAAGCTCTTTGAACTGCACTAACCTGTATGAAAACTGCAGTACAAATAAAGTTTGATTGATTTCCAGATATACGATAACTATGAATGACTGATGATGAATGGCTGAATTTTCTTCATTGTGATCCAGATTGTTGGATGTTAAAGGCCGACCTGAGCTGAAGGGATGGAAAACAAATACAGGTGTTCCAAGTCAAACGTGCCTCAGCATCATGTTATTAAACATGTTCACGTCAAATGTTTAAATACAGTGTGTCTAGAGAACAACTGTTGATGTTTCAGATGATTTTATTTTATCTCACTTCCTTTCATGTCTGTATAATACATACAAAACACAGCAAATGTTGTGTATACGCATTAAATCAGTTTTTGCTGGGGATGCATTTGTTCACAGCCTCTCTGTGGCCACCTAGTGGTTGAGTTCACCATTATACTTCTTTTCTTTTCTTCTTCTTTTGATGTTTGTGTACTTATTGTCTTCACTGTCGTTTGTTTGTTGAATTGTTGGTTGTTTTTCTGTTTTCTTGTGTTTTCATGTTTATCTGTGTTGTATGTTAGGAGAGATGATTCACCTCAAGGGGTTTATCATAAGGAATAAACTTGTATCAAACAGATGTAGAAACTTAAACGGAGACATAAAATGTGATGACATTAAAACTGAAATTTAATTTGAAACAGTGAATATGTAATCTGTGTGTGTGCGTGTGTGTGTGTGTGTGTGTGTGTGTGTGTGTGTGTGTGTGTGTGTGTGTGCGCACCCACCTCGCTCTGTTGACCAGCAGACACTTGATAATCCGTAGGCTGGACAGTAGTTTGGACTCGTATGTCGACTCGTTGAATTGACCAAACTGTGGTGGTGTATGAAAAACAATCAGACTCGATGTTTGTGTCGCTCTAGAAGCTGCATGGAGAACTTTGTGTGATTACACCATGAATGTATGTGCACAGATATACACCCAAAAACCCACCCTCAGAATGGACTGTATGGTCTGCAGCGGGTATGTGACAGTGGTGGCCACAGCTTTGGCCACAGCGCCGATGATGAAGACTTCAGCAGAGGACAGCTTGGGGGAGAAGAAAATATTATTTTCTGGCATAAATCTGCAGCTTGTGTATGAATTTATATCCTCAGAGGAACAGTGTTAACCCTTTATGTTGGAGGAGTTTATTGGACTCATATAAAAAGGTCAAATGACCCGCAGATTAATTTTAACTAATAGATTTATCCACAGACGCTCCAGTAGACCGTGAAAATGTCAAAGTGCACGCGGTGTGAAATCGTGCACGCACAAATGCTCAGTCAAACTGTCTGGTCACATCTGCTTCTACATTCCCTCTCACCTCTGTTTAAGCCGCACAGACAATCATGTGATCAGATTTACCACGTCTCTGTGCCGCGAGTATCTGCTCATCCAGATGATGGCGTGACCTGAAGTAACCTCCCTCCTTCACTTTTCCACAGGTGCAAATGTGGATTTTTCATTTGTTTAACAACTATGACACGACATTTTTACAGGTTTTCAATGATTAAGATAATATTTTAAAATGAATGTAACATGTTTTCTACATTTGAGGTGAAGTAATCTGACTCATCTCATCCTGAACATGATCGCTAGTGAACAGTGAAGATTTCCGTAATGACTCAGGGCATTTATACTTGGTAAACAGTTTCACTTATTGTAGACTTAACATGCATGTGTATCATTAAAGGGGCTGTTTGTAAGTTTTCTCTGCCGCTGAACGTGGTTTCTTGTCAGGAGCAGGTGGTGATTGTCTCCTGACAAGAACTTCAGCCATCGTTGTGTTTACAAGACAAGAGGTTATAATACGTCCTCTGAGCAGCGCTACGTCTTCAGGGACAGACTGGAGGCTGCAGTGAGTCTGGGTCAGAGGCTAGCTGGTTAGCGTGCTAACTTCAGTGGAGGGAAAGGCGTGATAGAGCTCTTGGCGAGCACAGGGAGGAAGTTTCAACATTTCTTCTGGACTGGAAAGTAAACAGCTGTTGATGCTAACGCTGTCTGTGTAGCAATAGCAAAACTCACAAATAGCTCCTTCAATATTTAGGTTGAATTTCCAGTTTAAACTGAACTGTCATGTTATATTTACTGTTACTGTGTTTAATAGTGAAGTGTCTTTTTTATGTGAAATAAAAATCTTTGTCAACAATTTGATGATAGCACAACCAAAAATCTTAATGTTAGGTTAAAGTTATATTATTTTAAATATGTTATGAATAATAAAAGCGTCATACTTTAATTTTCAACTCGCATTGTCCTGCTTAGTTCTTGGTATATGCTCCTCCTCCCTGCTCCATTCCTTCCTATAACCTACTTCTCACCCACCTCCCTGGGAACTCCTCTCCTCAGCTGCCTCTTCAAGCCTTCATAAATCATGAACTGGATGGCCGGGTTCAGCACCAGCAGCAGGGACGGGAAGGTGCCGTTCCACAGAGCTCCCACGCCCTCGTCACGGATGATCTGCACAAACGCATCTGACAGAACAAAAGACTGCGTTAGTAATTGTTGAAAAAGAGAGAGAGAGAGAGAAAAGGAGGTCGAAACTCAAGAGCATCCAAACACGCCAATAATGTGTTCGTGGTGAGGAAAATACTGAATGAGAATAAATGATAGGAACATAATAACCACGGTCAGACAATGGACATTTACCCAGAATGCCGGAGTAGTTAGTGGGCCGGATGTCTGCATTGCGAAACTTGGAACCCTGAAGCTTCAGTCTGGTGTTGACCACCCACAAAGGAGTGGTGACCAGTACATTGACAACACCTGGAGAGGGACCAGAAACATCACCAAAGCAAACACCGACTGTGGTTAGGACGAAAATGGCAATGTGGGTGACACTATTAAGATGCATGCAGGCGTGTCTGCTAGCTGAATTATTAGGATTTGTTCTGATTCTAGTCCTGCGTGACTGAAACAAGTGTTTGTTTTTTATCTGCAATCTGAGAATCTCACCTGCAGCGATTCCTATGATCAAGTCAGTGCTGGGTGCAGACTGATTTCCCTTCAGCCAGCTCGCCTTCAGGCTGTGGAAGCAGTAGAAGTAGACGAAGTTGGAGCAGCACAGGCTGCAGATGACCGGGAACCAACCTCTGTAAGGAGCGAGACTACAGCAGGCGGTGGGGACAGAAAACAAAGGAACACATCTTAGAGCACTTCTAGCGCGACACCACGGTTCATCCTGAAACGTGAGAGGTGGGGAAAATTATTTTATTCAAGTCAGGATATCAAACCATTATGGGCCTGACACTAGGGTGACCAGACGTCCCTGTTTTTGGTGTCCTGTCCCCGGCTACAGCTGTCCTCAGAAATATCCCCATTTTTAACTGTGAACTAAAAACAGACGTATAGCATTGTGCTGGCTCTGGCCAACAGAGGGGGCTAGCTGCTAGCTATAGCAGCTTCAGAAGTGAAGCTTAAACCATAAAAATAGAGTTATCCAAATCAGATTTTTTTCTGTTTTGTTGTCTTTAGGCAGAGAAAAGCCCAAAACTGTTTTTATGTTGGAAAAAGTGAAGAAGAAGTTACCTCACTCTGTGCGATGGACTTCACGCGACAATATTCACAACCTTTCATGAAAACTACTTTTGATTCTTTTGATATGTGGACTCTTACGAACTAAAGGAATGTAAATAATTGAAATAGATAGACAATAGGGCTTCACGACTGCTTCAAAGGTAGGGAGTCGTCACTTTAGACTGGGACTGTCTCCATTTTTATTTCATAGATAAAAACATTGGATATTTTAATGATATATTGACACCGAACTGGAAATGTCCCATGTTTTCATTGGTCACCTCACCTGCAGCATTTACAGTATTTGAAATGAAGATTTATATATAGAGCACATATGTAAACAAAGGCTGTGTTTTTTGCTTATGTGAACTGACGAAGCTGACACATAAAAACAAGAATTCACTGACAAACAACTAAAGGTCCAACTCTGGACATTTTTCCCACTCACAGTCCTTCCTCTTTGACAATTTCTGCCAGAATGGCTGGGGTTGATTTGGCCTTCCTGTTTTCATCCACTGGACACAAACACAAGACAAGTTGTTCTAAGTAAATACGTTACACTAATTATTATAATCACTGCAAATAACACTACATTTCTGCTGCTGCTCACCTTGAAGCCGTAGCCTGGCAGTGTCAAGAGGGAAGAATACTGTCATGGCAGTCACACTTCCCTAAAACAGGACACAGTCAGTCAGGGGTGGAGAGACTAAGACTGTACCTGCCATTTTGTTTCATATGAAAAATAAAAAATTCACGACAAATGTAATAAAATAATCTGACAATTTAAAGGGACAGCAGTGTTTACACCACCAAACACACACTAAGACCGAAAGATACTATATTTCCTATATGATCATAAAACACTATTCAATTCGGTAAATGATAAGCAACACTTGCTCTAACGTTTCAAGGTTTACACATTTGATATTATTATATATATTGTATATTTTGTCCGGTCATAAGGACACGTCACATTTTGAATGAAGTTTTGTATGGAAGATGTAAATAAACAACCTTTACAGCTTTAAGTTACTGCCGTTAAACACTCAATGGCAGAACTGAAGAGTGAAAGTTAAGGCTAACTTACCACCGCTCCTGACACAGCATGGACCAGACTCCGGTAGGAGAAAACCTCGGAGCTCATTCTGACGTTTTATTTTCGGTCTCCAGTCTCCGGCTCGAGCCGTGTCTCTGTTGCTGTCCTCTCACTCTGACAGCGGCTGTCTGGGTTTCTGATTCTTCACTTCCTTGTAGCTGGTTTGTAGAGGTTGTCGTACTGAGCGCGACGGGGGTTATGGGTAATGTAGTTCTCCCCCACTCTGAACCCGCACTCTTGGTTTGTACGGAAGAGGATAAGGGCCATATTTGGATTTTTGTTTTCACAAGTTGCCCAAAGGTGATTTTTTTCTTTAGAAAGTCAGAATTATGAGTAAAAAAAAAACAATTTATTATAAATTCCGACTTCTTTTTCAGAATCTCAATTTAAACTTAGAATTCAGAATTTTCCCAAAAAATTGAAAAAATCTCTGAATTCTGACTTTTCTAAAAAAACAAAAAAAGAAAAGAAAATCAGAATTCTGACTTTTAAAAAACAAACTCAGAATTTTGACTTTTTAAAGTCAGAATTCTAATTTAAAAAAATTGTGGCGCTAATGTGATTTTTTATTTTTAGAAAGTGAGAATTCTGAGTTTAAAGTGAGAATTCTAAAAAATTAAAAAATTCACGTGGCCCTTATCCTCTTGTGTGCACTCCAACATTCAAAATACCTTTAATTCCTTGTTAATTCATCCTCTAGGAACATTTGCAGGAATCCACCTTCATTTCAATTCATTGTAGGCTCTGATAAAACGTTCTACGTTTATCCAGCAACATTTGTGTTGTTAGTGAGGATGCTGCTCGAGCTGCTGAACATGTTCAACACCTGTCACTCATACATAAAAGCCTTCCTGGATGAAGGGGAGAACCTTCAGCAACAGCTCTTCTTTTAATATAGAAAATTTGGAAGATGATAACTGAGATTCAAAATCATTTTCTTTACTGGCAGTTTGTGACAAGAAAAAGAGGAGTTAGTGTGTTAAAGTAAGAAAAGTCTACTCTTAAATTTAAAGCATCTGTCCCTGAGGAAGCAGCCTATGCCACACCTCTTTAAATATTTACATGTCACCACGTCGTCACTCTTATTATACAGGTAGAATCCATGTAACAGTAACTTCAGTATCGATCCACACTTATTTTTCATGGGAATAAAATACCTAGAAGTGACTTCTGATTGAAAAGAATCCCAAAGATTCCTTTATGCCTTCATGAATTTGCAGCAGGTAAAGAAACATCAGCTGTGGGCTCACACCTGCACAGGAATAACAGTGAGCTACACGCTGCTGCCGCTGTAAGCTGTGTAGAGCAATAGGAAGCAGGAGTTTCATGTGGCAGCTGCACAAACCCTCAGTCAGCTCTCACAGCTGCAGGGTCCTGTGTGTAATGACTGTGGTGATGTGTGATTGATAACAGTCTTTGTTGGCCTCTCAGACACTGACAGCTCTTTTATCAAATTAACACCTGTACCACGTTTTTTATATTTTATATTTTGGTATGACTGACTTTATTGAGCTCCAATGTACATGCAATGCCCTGGATATAACCCTGCATCCTTCCCCGGATTGGTTTCTTTGTATTTGTCATATTTCCACTGACATAACATGTTTTGTGGTTGAAACCTTTTTAAAGACATTATCAGTCAAAATGCAAAGAAACATACAGAATATTAGGCTTTTATTTAATGGTATTTCATGTGTGTCAGAGCCATGCAGCTTATGTGAGGAAACACTTCCCAGCGTGTTTGAGGACAAAGACGGATCAACTGCTGCTGCTCGAATCAGAGGCAAATATCTTACAACTTTGGCACATCAATCTAAAACGATCTGCACGGTGCGACAGACGGACAGGAAACACGCTCACTGATTAAAAACTATTACACTGATTAGGAAGTGAATGACATCAAACCAACCCCTCTCTTATTAACATGAACCTGAGCAAGGCACTTGTTTGTCAGCTGCTGCGGCGGAGCTGCTCACTGACCCACTGCGAAACACGGGTTATAGTGGTGAAGAGAACAACAGTTTAAAAGCTCAAACACGATGTTAATAACTGGTCTGTGAGGGAGTTAAGGTTAAAGTCCACTTCCATATATGGTGTTTAAATGCGGGTGGTCGTTGAGATGGAGGTGACGTTCTCAACATGGCTTTTGTAAGTAAACAGCTAAAATAAATTAAAATTAATAATAATACAAAAGAGTCCATCAGTCTCCAGCCCATTCACTCAGCCACTCCTGACACTGCTCCCTCTGCTCCTCGCTCTCCTCCTCAGTCCTCTGTTCCTTGATGCGTTTCCTCCTCTCCTCCTCCCTTCTCGCTCTCTCTCTCTCCTCCTCTTTAGTCTTCCTGTCCTCCTCCACCCTGCGCTCCAGCAGCGCCTCCACGGTGGCCGACAGCGTCCGTAACGAGCGCTGCGGGAGCCACTTGGGATCCAACGCGGGGAGAAAGGGGTCTCCGGCAGACACGAGCAGGGGCTGAGGTTCCAGCGGAATGTGGAGGAGGTGGGCGTGCAGCATCATGCGGTACGGGCCGTCGTCCGCTCCGGAGCTGTAGGTGAAGTCCCCGACGACGGGGTGGCCGATGGCGCTGCAGTGGACCCTCAGCTGGTGCGTTCGGCCTGAAGGAAACGTCACAGGTGAGAGAGGGAGGAGGAGTTTTCACAGTGTGTGTAATGTAATACAGTGCGTTCTGTAGGTGCGCTTGCACGTAGGAATACGGTAGTTCAGCGGTTGAAAAAATGTAGTGCCAAAGGATGAAGCTTCATTTAAACACATGTTGGATTGTTTTGTTTTTAAAAGTGTCTAAAACAGGTTTGTTCTGGTGGCTCCGCCCACAGCAACACGTCACTCTGCTGGTCTGATCCCCTACCTGGGAGGAGCTGATCAGAATCTACTGCAGGTGATGAACCGACTGTATATGACTGACCTCACACAACCCCACGACAGAACACCTGAACTGTCCCTTTAATATACGATGAAGCTGTTTGACCGAAGGTGAACTGTATACAACAATAATGGAAGATGAAAACAATCTATATAAATATTAAGTCTAATAGATTCCACTTCCAGTTTTCAAACTTAAAAAACTCAACGACTCTTCCGAAAATGTGAATTTGCTCTAGTGTCATTTGTTTCTAATCGAATCTCAAGGTTAAAATGGGCCGTGATGTTTTTCGCCTCACACTCTGAAGGCGGCGATGTGCAAACAGAAATCTTTTATTTGTCTTATATGAGAGGAAACAGATGAGGGCTGTTACCAGTGAGCGGCTGCAGTAGCACCTTGGTGACAGGATCTCCGTCATACAACCCGTACTCCAGCACCGTCAGCTCAGTCTGGCAAGGCTTGGGGTTCTCACAACCTGACAAGAGAAGGATCACCTGGAGTTATCTTTCCGTTTCACTGACTGACTGTTGTCTGTGTCAGCTTTACAGGAACAGGTCAATCACTCCGAGCCTGAACTGTCCAATATTTAATGATTCATTTCCAACTCTATTTATCAAATGTGCTACAAGGGAAAACACAGAAACAAACTAAATGTATTGAACAAATTTTGGGGTTTTCAATCAGAATTAAAAGAATTTTAATTATGTGAATTTGTAGAGTTTTGGTAGAAGGGAAGTCCGGCTCATTCATGCTTTAAAACACACACACAAACCAAGACACATTCATTTACCTTCTGTTCCCTCAATACACATCATGTGTGTTTTTCCCTCAGTGGAGTTCTTGCCGATGGAGAAGTCCAGAGTTTGTGTCTGTTCTTCCACCAAGCCGCGAATCTAGAAAGCAAAAACTGTGGAGCTAATTTCATCTTTACAGATCTTTATTATCACAGACAGATACAAGTTAGTTATTTAATGATTTATTATTTTATTCATTATTTTATCTAATTTTCCATTAATGTTTTTAATGTTTTTCATTTTAGATCAAAGCTTTAACATGTTTTTATGTTCATTTTGACTTTTCTTTTCATGTGAAGCACTTGGTGCAGCTCATTTCTTTGTTGTAAATCACTTTGTGCTACATTTCTTGTATGAAAGGTGCTATACAAATAAAGTTTATTATTCTCATTATTATTATTATTATTGACAAACGCAGTGCTTGTGTTCCATACCAGGGCGAGGTAGGCTTTGGTGACGGTGCGGTCCTTGAAGCAGCGGTAGGCCCGGCCGGCTGCAGCCTTATTGAGGGCCACACAAAGAGCCCCACTGGTGGAGAAATCCAACTGATGACAGAACCTGGTGGGAGGAGAAGAAAGACGATCAGACACTCTTCATGAGGGTGCTGTCTGTGAGCTGGTGCTGTTGGTATTAGTGTGACTCTGACCTGAATCCATAGTAGGTGCTGGGGTCTGCCAGCTGAGGGAAGCGATGCCGGAGCTGAGCCTGCACAGTGTGTTTCTCGTACCACATCTTGCTGTCGATGCGGATGTCCCAGTGCTTGTCCACCACAATGTAGTCGTCGCTCTGGTACAGCACATGCAGGCTCTCCAGGCTCGCAGGCTCTGTGGTCACCATGTGCAGCGCGGCACTGACACAACTCATTCAGCCCTGTGGAGAGAAGGTGGATGACTATGTATTTATGTATCTAAGTCTTAGGCACGGTAACTGAACATAGCAAAAAATGCACTTTAAGTAATCAATATATTTCATAGTATCATATTATTTTGTGTAATGTCTTGTTCTTTTTTTTTATTACCGTTACTTTAATGGGAAACAGCATTTTAGTGTTAGAGCTGGTTGACATGGAGATAATTAAAACATTTTAAATGCTGTTGGACAGTTTAATGTGTCATATTTTATTTTAACTAATCACATGTTAAGTCTGTAAAATCTCTACATACACAGAGAAGTTTCAAACAAAATTAGTGGAGTCAAAAATACAATACTCAAGTATGAGCATAAAGAACCACAAAATGGAAAAACTACAATGTATTTATTTACACAAGTACTTCATTACTTGTTTGTAAATAAATATATATGTAAATTAAAATATATGTAAATACAGGTCAAGCGGTGGATAAGCTTCAAACTAGGCAACAACTGACTGGAAACTATCACTGACAAAGTGGACGTTTTAACCACAGTGTTTAAACACGTGGAAAATGTTTAGGACTTTGAGAAGAAAGTGTATTTCTCTTGTCTCTACTGGTGTGTGATTTCTGTCAAATCAGGGACACCGCCCCATCCACCGCTGCTTCAAAAAAAAAAAAAGCTACGATGACAAGTTTCAGGTTAGCACGTTAGCACCGCTGGTTAGCTAGCTGCTGTATGCTAACAACATAAGAAAACTAGTAACGTGTGAGTCATAACACTGCCAGTATCTGTACAACTACCACGAATAATTAGCAACGACTAATGCGTGTTATATTTTTTTCGACATACCGAGAGTACGCGCACATTTACACGAATGTAAACAAATCCACAAGTAGCGCAACGAGCTGCGCAGCCGGTTCTGCTCCTCCTCCTCCTTCTTCTTCTTCTTCTTCGTTTGTCACGGCGGAGAACGAACCGACAGCCACGGCGAACAGCGCCACCTACTGTTACTGTGTAGCAGCACGGCTTTCTGAGTTATAGGATAACTTCCCTGGGTTAAACGATAACAGCTGGGTTTTTTTTATGGGTTATGCAGGTAAAACTAATATATTCAAAGGCTAAATTAAACTTTACAGACTAAATAGACTAAAGAAAAGGATAAAAATAAATAGAATCAAATAAAAATAGAATGGAGACTAAAGACCATATACACTGCATAATAACAGGATTGTCCAGGAATGTTTTAACAGAATTAATTGTGCACTGAATATACTGTATTATAATATATTAATAATTTACACAATGCATATTACATATTATTATACATAGATTATCAAGAGATGAATGTGAGATGTAACACATGTGATAGTGTAATAAATAAAAGTTCAGGTGAGGATTTGGTCCACTCTCCTGATGCAAATAAATAAATAAATCGATAAATATTTGCATTTAGTCCATTAGTCCATGTATGGCTGTCATCAGCTGTGTTCAGTTTGTGTCTATGACAGTGGTTCCCAACCTGTGGGCTGCGAAGGTATTGCAATTGGGTTGACAAAATAGTATTTGCAAAATAGTACAATTATGGTGAAAAGATGCAACTGTATAAAAAAATATATGTATATAAATAATGTTTCTAAACGTTTAAAAGAAAATTTAACTAGACATGGAGTAGGATATAAAGCCTTTTCAAAAGACACTGATTATAAATCAAGTTGTGTAAAAAATAAGATTTCCCCTGAAATAAAACATTTTCATGCCAAAAAAAAAAAAGTTACTATACTGTAAGATGCTCTATAATATAGAGTATCTATAATCTATATATCTATAATATCACAACACCAAACTGGCTTTTTAAACTACAGATTAAACAAACAAGATATAATGTGTAAACTGTACTGCTGTTTCCAGTCTTTATGCTAAGCTACAGCTAACCATCTACCAGACAAACAGTGGTACTGATCTTCTGGAGGTGCATTTCTCAAAATATTGAACTTTTCCTGAGTAGTGCAGGATGATTCACCACTGATTGATTATTCTTTTTAGTATAATGGGTTTGAAAACATCAAAACTCCCAGCCTCCACCTGGAAATGGTCCAATGAGGCAAGAAACACCTGTGTTGGTGTGTGGAGTTTGATGGTAGATAGGGACGCTCCGTTGACAGTGTCACATACAAACATCTGAATTATCAGTAAATAGCAATCAAGAAAGCCAGATGACTAAATATGCGATGTGAGATTTTATTTTTATATAAAATACATAAATAAAGCATCTGCAGGTGGCATCAGGAGCATGTGCACATATTCATACACACATACATGTGTGTAGGACCCAACACACTAACAGGCATACAGTTCACCCCACAAAGTATAGTGTAAAATAACAAAATGAAAGTTGCAGCCACTTGGGAATACACAGATATCTGGCCTGGACCGACGCCTGCATACTGCACAGGTCACATGATCACGAGACGCGCTGCAGCAGGTTTGTACTCCAAAGCTGATGCTGGCATCACCGATCATCAGTTAACCAGAAGTCACTATGTTAAGATATGTTTCTGATATGATGCAAGAGATCTCCCATTAAAACGTGTGAATTAATAAAATAAAAGTTTTGTTCCAAAACGAGAAACATGTCTGAAAAAGATCAATGTTTTCGAGTAAACGGTCGTAAATGTCAAACATGATGTTTGAACTTTTTCAGGTTTTGGACAGAAACTCCTCTCGTCCCCTTCACTCCAGAAAAGCAAGAACATAAACATTTAGTTGACTGCAGCCGGAAATGTAGAAGAACACAGTATTGTGAATGTTATTTAGTTTCAGGATCTCCCGAGCTCTACTGATTGCACATTTAAACATAAAACAAAGCTCTGTCTCACACTCGAGTACTTACACACTGACCTCAAGATTTCTTTGGCCAAATAAACATTAACCGTTTTAACTTTCACCCGGCAAAAGGATTGAACCGTCGATGGAAACAAATCTCATACGACAAGAGTTTCAGATCAGTGGTCGAGTCAGAGAAAGTGAGAACAGAGAGCAAACGACTGATTTCAGTAAAGGCGCATGGGGCAAACACACACATACCATGTATATCCACACAACAGAAAAATATATATATTTATATAAACCAACATTCCTCAGAAAAACAATTATAGTGCTGTTTTCTGTTCAATCCCTCAATGATGGGAGGAGAAAAAAAAACAAAACTGTAAAATCAACTAATCAGGCCCGAACTGCTTCAAACGAGCTTTTCGCAAAAATGGCACTAAAGCGGAGAAGTGAGTGTAACGAGCTCTGAACCCTCCGCTGGAAACGACTGCTGAGCCACGTGAAAGCAGCGACACGGATCGATATGTTCGGCGGATTCACCTCCCTTTGGATTTTTATAAAGCCTCTGTACACCTCAGATCTGTTGGATCTCAAAACATTATTCTCTTCTTTCGTTCAACATCAGGATTTCAAGCTGCTGCTAAAAGAAAAAAAAAACAAAGTAGAAAAACTGATATTTGTCCCAAAGACAGAAACTGGACTGAACTGAGATCAGACAGGAACCTGTTGGCAGCAGCGACGAGCAGGATGGAGGGCGGGAATCAGAGTTCAGGTAAAGCTGGATTATAGGCATAGACGACATCATCATCATCATCATCATCATCACCATCATCATCATCATCATCATCATCATCATCATCATACTGGTAGAAAATAACATGGCAGCAAATCAATCTGTATGTAGGTGTGAGCGTTTCTGAGCATGTGTGCGGTTCAGAGAGTGTTTGTCTATGAGGGGGGGGTTTTGAAAGCCCCCCAGGCGTGGAAGCAGCGCGTGAAGCAGTGGGGCTCGTTTCCCTTCCGCACCAGTCGCAGCTTCCTCGGCTGTTCGGTCTCCTTGGAGCGCATGTGCTGGATGTAAACCTGGTGAGGAAGAGGAGGAGGAGGAGGATGAAGGGGGGGGGGTTAGAAAGGTGTGGATGTATCAAACCCAACGTGTGTCGACACAAACTGGAGGTTCCCGCTCACCTGACAGGCTTTGAGACTGAGTTTGATCTCCACCTGGCTGGTCTGAGTGCCCACCCACATGTACACCTGAGAGAGAACGAGGAGAGTGAGCCGGACTGCACGCAGCCAAACGATCAAAGTCACAACGATCAATCATCGTTATTAAATCAATCATCGTTACCTCATTGCCGTTGTCCAGCAGCATGATGTCATCATCAGCCAGGTCGTCCTGACAGAAGTCTGAGCATTTCTCTGACACAGAGAAATAACCTTTCTCATTGGAACACCTGAGGCAGGGGGAGGGGCAAAAGTCCACTGATGTCAAAAATTACAACAAAACTAATTTATCCAAAATCCTCAAGAGAGGAAATAATCAGAGAGAGAGAAAGAGAGAGAGAGAGAGGTTAAAGGACACAGATGTTTGTGATGTTGTTGCTATGGATACAGGTGATAACAGGAAACATGTTGTACCTGGTGCAAAGCGCGCTGCCAACAGGTAACGGTGACTCACCTGAAGAGCCGAGCATGTTTCATATAATCTGCATCTTCATCGTACTGCTTCTGAGAACCAATCCCCACCCAGAAGAAGTTCTCCGGCTCCTCCCCCTCATTTATCACCTAGGAGACAAAAACAAGACTCTGAAGCACAGACACACACACACACACTGTCTGGGTGTGATGACATCATCACATGCATTTAGATTATAGACACTCATCATGAGGGACGTTGTCATGATGCAGACGAGCTGGTTTAAGAAAAATTCCACCTTCAACCTTGTTGTTCGTACAATTAAAACTTTTTTTTTTTTAATGGTTCAAGTTCTACACAGAATGAAAAACAGCTAAATCTGGTTTAGAACACGTGGGCGTGCCTGCAGCTGAAAATATGTCGTCATAAGATTTAAAACAGTTTTAATAACTGAAGAAGTTGAAGAAATTAGTTTAAGATTCACTTGAAGTTCAGGAAGTAAAACAAAGTGAATTCACGAAGTAACTTAAGGTCATTAACAGCTGCTGAGCCAGCGGCGCTGTTCACACGCCTGCGTACTTTCATCTGCAAGATTGACGTAGTTTATCCACTGGGTGGCAGGTCGGAGCGTATTCATTCATCCCTGGTTGAAAATGGAGCATCTTATTAAACTTCTGCACATGAACAGAAACCACGGTGACACTGAGGTTGTTGTATTGTTGATGTTGTGATGACGACAGAGAAACTGGAGACTGTTAAAGAGTTAAAAGTTAAAGCCTCAGATGGAGAAAAGTTTTTATTCAAGTTGCGCACAAACTGAAAATGAAAGAAGCTGACGGACGCGGACACAGGAACACGCACCTGTTTGCTGTACGTGTCATCGAACATGCTGTTCATGATGTCCTCGGCCAGTTTGGCTTCGTCCGGGTCGGCAGCTCGGCCCACCCAGGTGTAAACAATGCCCTGATTGTCTGTGCTCTCGAAGGGTACCTGATGGAAAACGTCACGTTACAAAGAGGAGTGGTTTCAGAAGGGGGGGGGGGGGGGGGAATCCTGCTGGACGTGTGACGTAAAACTAAATATCTCCTTTACTATAAAGATAAGAAAAAAATACATGTCCAACCTTGAGGATGAAGCAGAACTCCGAGTTGAGATTACTTGAATCTGTCCCAATCTGGATGGTCCTGAGAGAGAGAGAGAGGGAGAGAGAGAGAGAGAGACACAGAGAGAGAGAGAGAGACACAGAGAGTGAGAGAGAGACAGAGAGACAGACAGAGAGAGACAGAGAGAGGGAGAGAGAGAGACAGAGAGAGAGAGAGACAGAGAGAGGGAGAGAGAGAGACAGAGAGAGAGAGAGACAGAGAGAGAGAGAGACAGAGAGAGAGAGGTTAAAGGACACAGATGTTTGTGATGTTGTTGCTATGGATACAGGTGATAACAGGAAACATGTTGTACCTGGTGCAAAGCGCGCTGCCATTGGTGCGTATGTGGTAGAGGGAGGGCTGGGCGGAGTCCGTCTTCTGTTTCCTCTTCCCTTTGTGGATGATGAACTTCCTCTTGAAATGAGACAGGAACTTGAGGTTCTCCTGCTGCTGGGTCATACGCACCACCTGAACAGGTAAACAGGCGGCAGGTGTGATGAAACAGTCAACATGGTGATGAAAGTACACACAATGATAAAAAATAAATAAATACATAAATACATTAAAAAAAAAAAAAAAAGGGGGGGGGGGGGGGGGCGGGGGTGTCGAACCTTGAGTTTTCCAGGGAAGAGACTCTCAAACTTCTTCTGCAGGGAGAAGGTGAAGGTGAGCCAGCCCATGTTGGAGGCCTGTCTGCCCTGCCAGAAGTAAACCACACACTGGAAGTCCTCCTCCGGCTGTTTGTCCTCTTCCTCCTCCTCTCCTCCGCCTCCTCCTCCTCCTCCTCCTCTGCCAACTTTGCCTTCTCCAGCACCTTCACCCTCCTTCTTCTCCTTCTCATCCTCCTCATACTCCACAGGCACCCAGTATCTGAGGAGGCACAGTGACATCAGAGCACAGACAGAACACAGACAAAGGTCACTATAGGTCATCTCCTCCGTCTGCTGCAGGTGACGCTGCTGCTGTCTCAGGTTGTAGTTCTGAGTTTACAAAAGTCTGTGTCGAACGAAGCTGCAGTCGACAAACAGCAACGTTTCCTTTTAGCTTGTTCAGAACCGTTCACTATTAGCCTAACGTTAGCTCGCTGCGCTAGTGTAAAACAAACCGTGGTGGATGGAGAAGTTGAAAATGTCTCGTTTTTCCATGTTTAAATCTTGTTGAACAGGTGGAGTGATGGAGGACGCCAATCGCTTTTTTACTCGCAAAGGTTAAAAATATAAAAAAATAAGAAGCTGCGTCTCAAAAACCCAGCATGCACGGCGTGTGAAGACTTTTTCTAATCAATCGTGTTTCTCTCAGTCTCTTGTGATTGTGTGTTTGTTGCTCATATGTTCAAATCTCGATGAGAATATGATTTATAGGTCAGCACTAATCAGAGCTCACTTTATCACTCAGTCTGTATTACGACCATTACAGACACACACACACACACACACACACACACACACCTGCAGAGGAAGACGTAACAGTCCTGTGTGAAGAAATGCCCAAACTCTTCCTCTGGCAAACGAGCGAACTTCTTTCCCTCCAACACGAATCCCTCCATGCCGTCCAGGTCCTCGTTCCACTCCTCCATCAGCTGCTCAGCCTGCACACAAAACACCAACGAAGAAGAGCTTGTTCCTGTTTTCTCAGCAAACCAAGTCAGAATAGGGAGTGTGTGTGTGTGTGTGTGTGTGTGTGTCACCTCAGTGAGGGCCATGGCCGGCTGCCTGGGAAGGAAGAGAGCAGTGAGGTCGGCTTTCATCTGGTCTTTCTTCTCTGCGTCTTTCTTCACCTGCGACAGGAAACAAGACATTAGCAACCGCGCACACACACACACACACATATCTGACACATTTCACAATAAAAGTCTTCGCTTAAAACACACGTGTCTTCCACCATGTGAATACTTTGAGAGTAATCTTGTATTTCAGTTCAGCAGCAGCATTTGTACTGATGTTTGTACTGAATTAGACTTCTGAGCCACAGGCGTCACCGACCTTGCCCTGCAGGTTGTCCTTCTGCTGTACAGTCTCAGCTGCTCTGGTGTAGTCCACCTTCAACACGTCGTCCCAGTTCTTAAACTTGGATTTAAACACCTGGCGAGGAGAAGACATTTAGGAAAGAGACACACACAGGTCAGTTTTGAAGTGTGTAAAAGTTTAAAGTTTAAATCAAATACAATTTTAAAATGTTATTATGATATTTCATGATGTTTTCCTTCATGCAGAGCTGTAAAGTGCATTTATGTGTGTCCACCACAGCAGGTACAGCAGGTGTTACTGTCGTATTCATTACCTGACACTCGGTGCCCTCCAGGTTGCGGGTGACGCAGGCGTGTTTGGGCCGGTGCAGCATGGAGCAGATCTCCTGACCCAGTTTCAAGGCGGCGGCTCGGACGAGACGGGGAGACTTCCTCCCGATCCAGATGAACACGTCGGACCAGCAGTCCAGGATGTACACGCACTTCGTGTCCAGCAGAGACTGCACCTGAAGAGAAAGAGGAGGGTGTAAAGTATAAGAAGGGGAGGAGGGACAAGGAGGGAAGGAGGGATGTTGATGCAGACGAACGTACCAGTCTCAGCTCTGGCAGGGTGTCCAGTTTGATCTTGTGGTCTTTGTGCTCCACCGACAGCTTGTAGTTCACCTGAGGCAGCTCCAGGTAGCCCAGACCCAGGCCCACCTACAGGACGGTGACACACCAAACATCAGTGAACTGTGATTTGCCGTTTAGCATCTTTATCCGTTTGTGTTCCTCAAACTTTATCGTGCCTTTTAAACAAAAAGCTTCCTGTGTGATGTCACAGACACGTTGGCCTCTTTTCACATTTGTTAACCTCCACCTGTCTGAAGACTCTCATGTTAGAGATGGAGGTGTGAGACCTTTTCTAAGGCTGACACATGCTGTTAACTGCACCTGGTGGACCACGAAGGTATTGCATCTTGGTGGAAAGATGTAATCACAAAAAAATTACAATACATTTTTTTTTAATATAAATAATGTTTTTGAATGTTTTGAAAATAAATTCTCTTTAAAAACATTTTAAAAATTAAGCCAATGATAGGAACTTTTATGTTGTCGCTGGGCAGAACACATCGTACGCTTGTTAGCTGTCTCTAAAGCCTGATTCAATCCTGAATGTTTGATCATCATCATTAATGCTGTAAATCATCATGAGCCAGTTACAAAAATATAGTTACGTGATCAAGCAGAAAGCAGCACCTTCAATCTGCACGTAGTCCACAACAAACAGCTGTATAAAAGGTTATTAAAATGATTCACCTTGTACAGTTTAGGTCTGATGGGAGAGAAGTCGTCCGGTACGTGCTTCTTGATCTCCTCTGGTTGTCCTCCCAGCACCTCCCAGAACCCTGGAGGCTCCTGGTTCTGCATGAGGGTTGTGATCTCCGCCTTCCCCTTACGCTCATTCTTATTTATCTTCTCTGCAAATAACCTGGAGGAGGACGACAACGCTCAGAAACAGCTTTGGATCTCTGCAGCTACAGGCTGTTCAGTGGTGTCCCCAACATGGGGAACATGAGATTTGCCAAACCAAGTGGCAGCAAAGTTTGTGTTGCCTCTTGATTTGTGTCTCACCTGGCCTTCGTGGTGCCGCTGAGTGTAGCGTTGGCTCCTCTCCAGACAAAGATTTCCAGCCCCGTGTCCAACAGGAAGACAAAGCTGCCAAAGAAAAGAGAAAGACAGGATGTTAAGGACACGATGCTTCACCCTAAAGACAGACAGTTTACATCATGTGTCAAACAGCGGCTGGATAAAATGAGCAACAAATCAACTGCAAGTCGACAGTGAACGCACTGATTACGTCAAACAGAGATAAGAGGGACATCAAAGGCATTAGGAATGGGGAGTGTGTGTGTGTGTGTGTGTGTGTGTGTGTGTGTGTGTGTGTCATGGTACATAAAGGCAGAGAGGGTGTGTGAGAGTTACCGAGGGTCGAGGGAAGAGGCCTTCACAGGTACAGACTCCAGTCTGATGTTCTTCTTGCCGTAAACTCTGTACAACCTGATGAAAACACACAAGGGCTCAAATGTTTTCAGAGCAAAAACACACACACACACAAACACACACAGAGCGATCACTTGATTACAGCTGGAACTAAATTAATTCACACTTCAAGTGAACCCGGTTTTATGAACCAGCTTTTCAAAACAAAGCTCATCTCTAACGATATTAAGACAATAAAAGCCAAACAAAGGTAAATAAAAGAAATGTGACTTCCAGCCTACCTGACGGAATAGTTTGTGTCCTCCACAGTGTAGAATCCACTGGCTGTTCCTCCCTCAATGTAGGAGATCTCATTGTTAAACACCTGCACATGAGACAAGACCTTAACTACAAGAGCACGAAGCAGCTGAAGGTTTATAAAGCTGCAGCTTCAGTTTCAGTTTGTCCAATAAAGGAAAATGCATTTTAAAGAAGTGTAATGTGTTTATACATACGGCGCTGAACTCCTCGCTCTCGTCTCCCATCTCTTCCCTTATCGTCCTGCACTCCGCCCCCAGGAAATTTCGGAGGTTGACGGCGTGGATGGCAGAGCCGGCTTTCTTGTCCAGCGTGGCTTCCTGGCCGATCCAGTAGTAGATGTGCCAGTTCAGCGCTCCGTTATCATCCAGGAAGGTCTGTATTACAAAGAGAGGAGCGTGAGAAGGACGAGAGGAGGGAATCTGTCTCCGGATAGAAACTTACAGATGTTCCAGTGACATGAACCAGTTTGTCTCTGATTAGTCTCACGCAAATCTAAGTAATGACCGTCTGTGCAAATGCTTGACGTGTTACCTTGAGGATGATGTAGCAGTCCGCCTCGTAGAACTTGCCATGGAAAGCTTCATCCACCTGCATGGGAACAAAGTTCTCTATCTGCCACACGGTTACACCTGGAACCTGAAGAGAGGGGAAGAGAGATATGAATATAGATTGTGATCAACCTTCAAAACAAAACCTTTTATAACCCGAAAGGTTCCCAACAGATATGTGGAAAAGAATCTGCAGAGAGGAAGCAGGAAAGGAGAGGTTGCATCCTCTAAATCAGACTCAAACACACAAACGGGGATATCTACTGTCACACACACACATATTCTCTCTCTCACACACACACACACACACACACATTACCTGCCCCACGTCCTCCATAAAGAACTCGGAGTAGTCCAGTTGAGGCTTCTCTAGACTCTTGTCCCAGCGTCGGACCTTTAAATCTGCGTATTTCAAGTCTCCGTTCTCCTGCAAAAATCAGCAGATTTCTTGGTAAATGGAAACATGAGTCAAACCTCTTGTGTTTATTATTCCTCCTCAACTCATCTCAAGGTTAATGGAGAGATTTCTAGACCAACTAATCTCCCCACAGAGTAGTTAGACCGACATAATAATAACAGACATAACTTATTGTTCTTGGTGGATCCACAATGGTCAGACCAGCAACTATTTTTCTTTCCACTATTATTTTCATATCTTCTTCCCCTTACCTCCATGTTCTTCTTCTCCTGTGCGACGTCACTCATGCCCTTCAGCACCTGCTTTGCCTGATCGTCCTGAGAACAGTCCTTCCTCCTCCTCAGCCTCATCTTCCTCGCCAGGTGATCTCGGGGGCTGGCTCCTGCACACGTGCAGAAACACACACTGATTTAAGCCTCTACTAAATACAAAGAAGCGTTGATATAGTCCAACACAGTCATGTACAAGCTACACACACACACACACACACACACGCACCTCCTCCAGCTGCAGCTACAGTCGCAGGCGAGGCCCCGGCCAGCCGGAGCTGGTTCTGCAGGGAGAAGTCGATGTTGTACCACTCTGCCCCTCTGTCCACTGGTTTAGGAGGCATCACCAGGTTGGGGTTCTCACGCACATCCAGGACCTGCAGAACGGTTAATGACAACAACATCCTCTGCTTTAAACAATCTGTGGAGTCAAAGTGACATTTAATCAAATATACTTGATGTTTTTTTTATTGCTGAAGCATCATCATGTCCCATATAATATTCCTGCAGGAACTTGAAATATATCACATTGGAGTTTTTTATCCAATTTATTGCAACAGTATATACTGACACTTTTCTTTATCACATCTTCACACAATCACATACTTTGTGTTTTACTCAGTGAGATGAAAAACATCCACCATTTACCCAATGTCAATGCAAAGGCTGCGTCCGGTATTATCTGAGTACTTGACTGGTAGGTTGGTATTTTACCTCTAAGTCAGTCAGGAAGTGGATGGCCTCAGGCAGCGTCACCAGGCGGTTTTTATTCAGCACCAGCTTCTTCAACTTGCCACACCTAGAAAACGACATACGCAAGATTATTCACGAAACGCGTGATGATAAAATACAACGTGTAAAGAGAATCTGCCGTTTCCTGTTCATGTGTAAAATTCACTTTGACTCACAAACATCAACAAACATTCAGTTTGTAAAACTGACTCACGCCGACCCTCAAAATCTGTCTCTTCTTTCTGCTAAATAAAATTGGCTTGTATCTTCAGCCAGTTGAGAATAAATCAGTCTAGCGTCACGGCCGAAGCTCACCTGCAGAGTCCCTCGGGGATGAGCTCCAGGTTGTTGTTAGCGGCCATGAACTCAGTGAGGCTGGAGAGTTTGCCCACGCCCGGGGGAACGCCATCAAAGTCCAGTTTGTTGGAGTTTACGTACAGCTTCTTCAGTTTGGACAGTTTACAGATGGCAGACTGAACGGAGACACACGAGTTTAAACGTTACAGAGATTATACAGTGGAGTGCATCAAAACAACAATACAGTTCTCTGGCGACAGAAGCTTTTAGATGAAGAAATAACTGGTTTCCACAAATTGACGTTTTCTTCGTCTTTAGTCATGCAGACGTTCATCTCTTAGAAGAAGTAATGAATGAAAATTGCGACAACTCCAATTACATAACTTCCTAAACGCTGCTGGTAGGAGAGGAGTGGCTTATAAAAGACAGCTGTGTAATGACTGCGGTCCTTACGGGCAGCGAGGTGAGCTGGTTGCGGCTCAGGTTCAGCGTCTCCAGCTGAGTCCACTGGTCGATGCAGAGGGAGAGTTCAGAGATCTGATTACTGCTCAGGTTGAGTCTCTTCAGACTGCCCAGAGAATACAGGCACTCTGGCACTCGAGTAAGGTCGTTACATGACAGGTCAACATCTGGGAGAGATGGGAGGGCGAACAGGGAGGAGTTAGAGCCACGCATTTGTGAAAAATATAGGTGTGTGTTTGTGTGTGTGTGTGTGTGTGTGTGTGTGTGTGTGTGTGTGTGTGTGTGTGTGTACACGTGCATTACCTGCTAAATGCGTCAGTCCCTCCAGGCTGGTGGGCATGTTGCTCTGGGTCCTCTGGGTGTTCCTCAGGTGCAGAGTTTGTAATGCCACCATGGCTGGCAGCTGGCTGCTCAGACACACACACACAGAAACACACAAACACACAACCACAGTCAGAGCAGCACTAGATAAATACTTGAACTAGCATTTTTCTGGGTGTTTGGGTAAAGGTGGGAAGTGAGGGATAGATGGCAAACGATAATGACAACAACACAGAAACAAAGTCTTCTTACCGCAGCTGGGCGTGCAGCAGCGGGTTGTTGTTCAGTATGAGAGTCTGCAGGTGCACCAGGCGTCTCATCTGGGGTGGCAGGCTGTCGAGCTTGTTGTCGCTCAGGTCCAGGTACAGCAGGTCTGTCAGGTTGATGAACAGCTGGTTGGGGATGGAGTCGATACCGTTGTGGCTCAGATTCAGCACGAGCATGTTCCTGCTGTTCTCCAGGTCCCTGGGGATCTCCGTCAGCTGGTTGTAGCTCAGGTCCTACAGCAGAAGGAAGAAGAGAAAGGTGTGGGGAAAACATGGCATTGATTTATTTGTGGGACAGGAAAGTTTCAAAACCAATTCAAAAACAGGAAAGGTCATAGGTGTAAAGTTGAGGCAGTTTACAAGAAGAAAAAGGAAAGAAAACATGTTGATGGAACAAGCGTAGGAGGACTGTAAAAAGGTCTTAAAGGGTATAAACATAAACAGAGAAGAAGAGATGGTGTGAGATTAATTATAATACCAGCACAGAGAGATCATCCAGTTGAAAGATGTCATCTGGGACTCCAGAGTTTTTCAGGTTGTTTGCTCTGGCTACCACCGCCTGCACACATAAGGAAACACTTTTAGAAAACTGATGTGAACACGGCAAAACATTAAACTGCACACTGAACACACTGAACACACTGAACACACTGAACACACCAGACACACTGAACACACCAGACACACTGAACACACTGAACACACCAGACACACTGAACACACCGAACACACTGAACACACCAGACACACTGAACACACTGAACACACTGAACACACCAGACAAGCAACTTCTGTTGATAGTTTTAAGAAACAGCTGAAAATCCATTTTTATGATCTTATTAACAATACTTTGCTTTTACTTGATACATTTTTTATTCCTTTTATACCTTTTTATGTTTTTAAAACTGTTTTTTATATTGTTTTATTGCCCTTTTATTTATTATATTGCCCCTTATGTCTGCTGCTATTACCTGTGTTTTTTCAGATACAATTATGTATGAAAGGTGCTATACAAACGATGTTTATTATTGTTATTAATTCTACATGTGCTTTATATGTATTAACTGGTGTGTATCAGTTACCCGTAGGTTCGGTAAGCTGGACAGTTCTCCATGTAAAGTGGTCAGGCTGTTGTGACTCACTGAAAGATGCTCCTGAAGAAGGAAAAGCAGAGGTTTTTTTAAACAGATACACAATGCACTGCACAAACATGACATAATAATCTAAAACATACCATAAATAGACCCTACAACATGTCCTGGTCACTGCTGTGCAATGTACTACTCACACTAATGTCAGGTTGTCTCTAAACAGAATGATTTAACTACAAACAGGATAAAACCAAAGCAGAGGTTTAGTTAAACACACCCAAGACACAACAACTGCCAGCCATGATAACACACTAATCTTGTTTACCTACACCTGGGAAGATAAAGCATGCTGGCATAGATCATCTTTTCAGCGTGAGCTTTGCTTTGGAGACTTAGATGAGATAATCCTATCAGAGATACTGAGGATTAAAGCAGGGCAGTGTGTGTTCTTGGTCAGGTGAGGTTTCACTGGTGAAGTGTGTCAATCTGCTGGAGTGATCTCCTCTGTTACTCACACACTGAAAGTTAAATATTGGTATGTTTTGACCCAGACACCAACAACACTGCTGTCAACGAAGCGCTGATAGATGGAAAAAGGTACTAGGTAATCTAGGCTGATATCATGACAGATGACAACATTATTATTATAATTAATTCTACAGATAATTCAGTCAATACCAATACAATAATATCAGTACCATTGTGGAGTTCTCTCCAGCTTCAGAACTATCAACTGTAGATCAGGCGGCACATGTGAAAAACGTTGTGACTCTCCATGATGAGAGATGTGAGGTGAAGCTAATCATGAACAAAAAGGCCTGAATGTCTCACCAGCTTCTGCAGAGAGGCCAGCTCCTCTGGGAGGTAACACAGTCCTGTCCTGTTCAGTTTCAGCCATCGCAGACTGCTCATACACTTGACATGCTCTGGGAAGTATCCACCCTGTAACGACAGACAAGTGAGACAGACATAAATGACTTTTGACATCAACAGTATTTCTATTGACTGTAGTTACCAATGCTAGGTTTTATTTTCAGTACAGCAGTATGACAGAGGGGGAGAAGGCTGCAACGAAACCCACATGAAATTTCCTGTAAAACAAACTAGTGACATTTATTTACCAGAATCATTTGAGCCTGAAATATGGACATAAGCTCCTGGACGTACTGTAGATCTGTTATACTGAAGTCCTTCAATACACAGCCAATAAATTAAGTAAAACAGTGTAAATATCCAAGAATTAGCACAGTAAATTTCCCTCTATTTGTCTACATCTATGATTGAAAGCTGACATCAGCCCTGTTGGTTTCACTGTCATCAGAGGTGGTCAAAGTACAAAAAAGTGAAAGCTGTTCAGTCAAAATTTTACTTGAGTTAAAGTACTGGAGGACTTGATTTTTAAAATATTTAAAAGTATATTTCTTTTATGTCAACACATGGTTGTATCCTACTGTCTATCTACTGAACACACTGAGTTACTTGCAGAACCTGCAGAATAAAAAGCTTGTAGAATATTCTATAAAGTCTGTAGAAATGGACTTGAAAACAATTGAATCAACCAAATGACAGCTATTGTTGTTTTAGCATTTCTTTTTTTAGGCAGTGATGAAGAATGGTTGTGGTAAACACAGCAAACATTTAAATTAATCTTTATTTCTAAACCTTCAAATATGGACATGAATGACAGTGTAGGAGTTGGCTGTAACTGGCTTTTCTCCTGTGATGAACATGGTCTATCACATTTTCAAAATAAAGAAAATTAATTCCACTGATTAAAAGTACTTCAGTACTTCATAGAAATATATTGGAGTCAAAAGTACAATATTTGTCTTTTAAGTGTAGTGGAGTAAAAGTCATAGGTTTCCAGAAAAGAAAAAAAAGTACTCAAGTAATGAACAAAAAAATGTACTTAAGTATAGTACTCAAGTAAAAGTACTTCACTACTGTCCACCCTGACTGTCATTATGGGTGAGTGTGACAACACAAATATGGACAACTTCAGTCATTTCCAAATCAGCTAGATGAGTAAATGCAGCAGACATCTGGCCAGCTGTGTTGTTCCATGTATATTATCTTTTACAGTCAGGAAACATAAGGAGAGTTGAAAAATGCCTACAGTCGTTTCTGATCTAGGGCACATTTGGGCAGAGGAAATGATGTCATATCAGACTGGCTGAAAATAGATTTTAATCGCCAGCCATTCAATGACTAACAGATAAACATGTTATTTCGCCAGTTTATTTCTACTACTTAAATACTGACATGGCGGGCAGCGTTAAGTACACAAATAGTTGTCGGCTCATGCCAGATGATCTCAGCTGTCACTCCTGCCTGCCGGGCTGCCTCTCCAAGCTCCCAGACTGGGCTCAAAAGTGGGTCAAAATTTACAAGTATGACGACATGGTGCGACTGGAGCCACTCAACAAACTCAATAACATCGACTAACGTTGTTTTTGGCCGCAGCATTATCTACGTTAAAGGCAGATAAAGCTGACATGTTTTGACGCAGAGCTTGTGCCTCTGACCCAGACAGCCACAGTTAGCCAGCGCTGAAGCTAAATTAGCTAGCTGACGTGACGTTGGAAATAAGAGCTACGTTATCCCAAACTACAAAGTGTACTCTAACAGCGAGCAAAGTAAAACAAAGTGAATACATTCCCCTAAGCGTAAACGTGTTAACCGTTACACAGGACGCTTGTGGCTGAAACCAGTCTCTTTCTACTTTGTCCATGTCAAACATCTGACAACTGGCTAACGCCCAATGCTGGTAACGTTAAGCTATGCTAATGTTTTAGCGAGCTTAGCCCTTAGCCGTTTGTTGCTCTGAGCCTCTAACTTTAGCTTTAGCTACCTAGCTAAGCGGAACAGCTACGGATACAATGTCAAAGATTGGTGCTTAAAATCCTTACTTTGAAGTCGTTTCCACTGAGGTCTACCCCCCTTATGAAGGGAAGAACTCCGGTGGCAGCCATTTCTGGTTGATGTCAGCTGCTGAGCCCTCAACTGTCTATTTTGGTCCAGAGCAGCGAGGGCTGTGGCTGCTGTGAACTGCTGCTCTTCTTCGGGATGTTTAACTGCGGTTCATGCGCTTTAGCGCCACCTGCTGCTCCGGAGTGAGACCAGGACTCATGTGGTATTACAATACAGCTATTTTTTTTATTTTACATTTTTATTGAACAATGTACAATTACAAATTTCAGACATCTGGAAATATAAAAAGTGCAAAAAGTATATAATATATATATTTATAAACATATACATATATACATACATATACAAATAGACATATATCCATGTATACAAACAGAGAAAAATATATATCAATCAAATAAAGAAAACAATAAATGACATAAAACACAAAAGGGTAGCTGTAGTAAACAATAATAATACATTTAAATAATAAAAATACATAAATCACATACAGCAATTAATCATCGGTTAATCATTTTAATCAGGGGCTACAATACAACTATTGACGGTGTCATTGGCCTACTTATGAAAAAAAATAAATAAATAAAAATAATGATAATAATGATAATGAAACACTTCCTGTAGGTTTATCCTGGACAATATAATTTGAGCTTCAATTGTAATTTTTTGGTTTCTTAAGGTTCAACACAAAATAGGAATTTTCTAATCAATCTCATTATATTTTTTGCAAAGTTTTATATTCAAAAATGTAAATTTGCTAAAATGAAACCTCACTTTCATGTTTTCAACAAAGAAATGGAGCTGTATATTAAGACAAAAACAAAAAAAGCTCCCATTTTAATGTTTTCATTTAAGTCTCTTTCTGTTTTTTATTATTTATTTTTTTTTAATATTTTTTTTATTCATTTTATTTTTTCTTATTGTTTTATTTCATTTATTAAATATACTATTGTATTCATATTGTTGTTATTTTCTTGTTATCAAAACTTATGTACTTTGACCTCTATATGTTTTTGAACTGAGCTACTGTTGTGGTAATTAGTCCTGTTGTTTATGTGGCATTTCAATAAAGAAATAAAAGAAATAAATTAAAAAATCTAAAAATTCTTCCTTTTCTTCTGTTTCTTTCTTTGTCATGATACATATGCAACAACCATAGGCAACAACACACCGCTGTCAACTCCCATAATTAAATTGTCAAGTCATTCAGAGATAACAGGGGTGAAACCGGAAATGATATATTTTCTTTCAAAATAAAAACCACTCCTCAAGAAAGCTATCCATGTGTTATTGAAATCTCTCGCAAAAGTTTTTATTTTGAAAGTGGTGGAAACGGAAGTGATCTTTTGACGTAATGACATCATTCTTGTAGACCCCCCCCCCCGTCCCTTCCACCAGTCAGCTGTGCTATTAGGTGCCTAGCTGAGCGGAGCTAGCTAACAGAAAAATAACATTACGAAAAGATATTTGGACGGTTAACGATATGGATAAAAATGCCACGCGATACAACGTCCAGCTGTATATTTATGATTTATCGAGAGGAATGGCGCGCAGCCTCAGTCCGATCATGTTAGGTAAGTACAGATGAAAAATCCGATGCAGCCTGGCCTCGGGGACAAATAAGTGATGATAACAAATACCGGGTGGAGATGCCCTCTCTCTGCCCTGCTTTGTGTCGATCTTAAGTTATCAAGAGGTAGTTAAGTTTTAATTAATTATTTTTTTTTTGCAAATAAATGGTAACGCGTGACTGATGTATGTTCATTCTGTCATCACCACTTGTTAGTTTCAATTCGCATCAACTGTTTGCATAAAAAGATCATCTGCTACCTGCTTCCTCTCACTACTTTCCTCCCCTTTCTCTTACAGGAAAACAACTGGACGGTATATGGTATGATCTGCTCTCTTGTCTATCTTAATAACTAGGTTGTCTCCTGACTGTAATGTGTGGCTCACTCAGGTGTAGGCCAGTTTATTATGATTTAAAACATCTCTAAAACACAGCTGCTGGAGGTGTGTCTGTGTCCGTCCTCATTCTGTTCTTTAGAATCTGTCATCATTGTAACTCTGGTGTTTTTGGTGGCTTGTTATTTCAATTCAGTTCAATTCAGTTTTTATCAATCATAATATACATGATCTCACGGCACTGTGCAGGGTAAGGTCGAGACCTTACTTTATTATATAGAGAAACAACAGTTCCCACAGAGGGTGAGCACTTGGCGACAGGGGGGGGGGGGGGGGGGGGGGGGGGGGGGGGGGGGGGGGGGGGGGGGGGAGAGACCATGAACAGCTGTATATACTGTTGATTGTTAATTGTAACAGGGAAAATAACAGTTATACCCATAGGTAATGTGTTATTGTATTGTAAGTGTGTTGTAGTGGCAGATCTGGATCCTGCTGCTGAATCCTGCAGAATGAGAAAGAGAGAGAGAGAGAGACACACAAACTATGGGAAAGAAAAAATACAAAGTTAGTGACAGGAAGTAGTACAATATAAATGCAGAGAGAGAGAGAGGGAGTGCATTCATGCATGCATGGGAATCCCACAGCGGTCAATAGGTCTATAGCAGCATAACTAAGGGTTGGATTCACTTGAGCCAGCTCTAACTATAGGCCCTATCAAAGAGGACAGTTTTCAGCCTGATGTTGAATGTGGAGAGGGAGTCTGCCTCCTGGACCCAGACTGGGAGCTGCCTCCACTGCAGAGGTTTTAAAAGAAAAGGCTCAGAGTTGTAATTTTAAATAGCTGCAGCAGCAAATGTTGAGTAATCGTAGTTGCTCTGACCTGGATATACGCCTGTGTTAATTTAGTGCTTTTCTTCCAGGCACACAGCTATAGTGGCATACGGTGATGAGTTCTTCTTCGGTGGGGAGGGCATCTCCAGCTGTTCGCCGGTAAGTCTGAAGCAAGGAGACTGACTCCTGTTTGACAAAGTCTCATCAAACGAGCTCATGGAGGAGATGTAGGCCATCTATCTCAGACCGCTGCTGCACACACACACACACAAATAACAGCCCGTATAATATTTTTAGTGCTGAGCCTGTGGGCCTCTTCCACTACTGTAGACATGAAATCATAAGGAGGTTTCACATTATACCTGCAAACCAAGAGGTGCAACAGAGAGACCTATTAATACCCATCTCTTTCAGATGATATGTTCCAACTGTCACTGCACAGTCCTGCTAAAACTAAATCCTTACAAATCCACACGGGCTGTGTGTTTAATAAATCCACATATTCATAAAATAAACCTTTGACATGTGCAGGACATTGTTTCTGCATTTCCCTCATTTTTAAAAGAATTTACTTCGTCTCTCAATACTGTGACTTCCCTGCTTTGTTTGTATCACAAACACATACTGTATGAAGATGTGGGATTGGTCCGAGACTTACTGCTCACTAATTAAATGCAGTGGTTTCCTCAAATAGTTTTATCTGCAAGACCTTGAAAGAACAGTTACACAACTGTGACTAAAATGTGACATCTCTGAGGCGGAAACACTTTATATACAAGCGCGTCTTTAACCCTGCTGGAAAACAAAAATAAGATTTCTGTCTGTTGATGTGCATCAACAGCCGCGTCTGAACACCCTGTAGATTCATGGGTAAATACATTTCTTTAAATAGCCAAGTCATTTTCTAACCGGCCGGTCAGTGTCGTTTTTATAAATGCTGCTCAACAAACAGTAAATAGTGTATTTGTTGGGGACTATCAGCTGCAGATTAATACACACTCGGTGCTTTTGTTGGTGTGTTCGGCAGCAGGATGTGAAGACGGGAGCGACACAGTGTAGGTCAATGGCCCAGAGGAAGAGAGAGATGAGACTGGTTACACAGGAAGAAACACTTTGTTGGTTTTGATTTCTTCATGGACAATAAGAAATATATAGAGTATAATATGAATAAGATATAATAATAATAATAACTTGATTTATAAAGCACCTTTTAAAACATTGTTTACAAAGTGCTTCGACAAACAAATCAAAAGCAATGAAAGTCAATAGAGACGATAAAAAGACAAGATAGAAATAAATAAAAAGAAAGATTGAAAAAATAAAAAGAATAAATATAAGCAGCCTCATCCTTTAACATTTATACATTTATCATAATGCTAATAACTAAACTAGGCCAGACAGAGGACAAACTGCTATATTAGTTTCTCATGAGTTTAGTTTCTTCCTGCATGATTTTGCAGAATGACAGTTATAAAAAGAAACCATTGTTCAGTGATGGGACTGATAAAATCTGATGTTTCAAACACCAGTCCAACCGAGCAGCACGTGTCCTCCCGACCCTCCGTCTGATGTAATCCAGCTTTTAGCTAATATTCCCAAAATATCCGCGGAAGATTTCGGCCTAGATTTGTTGTTTTCTTTGAAACTGTTGATGTGTGACTGAAGCTGCTAGATTATGATGCGTGATCACAGGGTCAAAGTGAACGCTTCTGTCTTTGAGGATCGAGGTCACATGATCCTCAGACGTCTGAATTTTCGTCCTCGTTTTCGACAGTAACTGTCGGATCGATCCCACGTCTGTGAACTGGTTACTTTCTCCACCTGAAGGTGTCAGGCTCTGTGATACTGAGAACTTGTGCGTGTTGCGTGTTGCGTGTTGCGTGTTGTGTGTTGTGTGTTGTGTGTTGCGTGTTGTGTTGTGTTGTGTGTTGTGATGTGTGTTGTGTGTCAGGGGGGGACAATGCTGGGACCTCCAGACACGGTGGTGGAGCTGGGTGAAACCGAAGTGTCGGAGGAGATCTTCATGGATTACCTCTCTTCCCTGGGAGAAAGCACATACAGGTGGAGTGACTGCTCTTCATCTCTTCTTCCTCTCTGTGAATATGTTCAGTATGATTCATGCTTGTCACGATGCATGGGGGCTGTTATCTGACTCACGAACCCTCTTCCGTCTCTTCCTGGTTTAGAGGTGACAGGTATCGTCTTTTTGAGCACAACTGCAACACCTTCACCAACGAGGTGGCTCAGTTTCTGACGGGCAGGACCATCCCGTCCTACATCACCGACCTTCCATCCGAAGTCCTCTCCACGTGAGTGTAAACCTCAGACCCTCAGAACCATGATTTCACTATGATCGCCATATGGTCGTGTCTGTGCAGGCGGCTGCAGAAATACACCTCCAACCACCAGCTAAATAAATCATGTAACATGTGGATTCATTATAGAACGTGTCTGTTTTCATGCCAGCTTCACTCAAGTTTCACTTTATGATACAGAAAATTTCAAAGCCTGCAAGAGAACCAAAAAGTGAATGTGGCGTGGCCCTCGGAGGAGGTTTATTTGGACTAGTTTTCCGGGCTCTCTTTGATCTCTTTTTAGCCGTCACGAGGCCGGTCACAGGGGAGACTCCGGCTCCGCTGCAGACTCAGTGTGACTCTGCTGAACAGGAACAGGCAGCACTAGTTGCACTGGCAAAAATGGGAATTAGAGTGGTTGCATAAAGAGTAACAAGTACCTTCGCTGCAGCTGCAGCTGTAACTAAGTCCATTCATCACAATCACAATCAGACACTGGATTGATCCCCAGAGGGAAATTAAGTTTAGTTACAGTTGCAAAGAATAGAGAATATGAAGTAGGTAATGAAGATAAAGATAAATATATACGTAAATATTCATATATATTCTATAATATATAAAAGAGAGAAAAATTGAAATATGTAAAGATACGAGTTTTCAAATTGCACTTGCACATGTCATTTACACAAGTACAATATTAAGATACTTGCACTTAAGTATTTGATTTTTCTGCTACTTAATATGAAATATGCAACTTTTTACTGACTCCCAGAGTTACTAGTTATTGAACAGACTAAGATTTTACTCTGAAAATCAAAATCTGCTTACTGAGTCATTTTAACAAATCAAGAACTTTGTTTCTTAACAGGCACAAAATCTGCTCTAAAAATGTTCCAACCTGTTCTCCATAAATGTCTTTATGTATATATATATATACAGTATATGTATATATATTATAAATGTCATTCCAGCACAGTAATCTGCCTCATGCTTCCTGGTTTCCAGCTACAGAAACTAAGTTCAAGCTGATTTGAATTGAAAACAGAAATAAACTGCACCGACTCATTTTAAGAGAAATTAAAGACAAGTGAGATTCTATGACTGGACAGGTTGTGTCTCACACACAGATGCTCCAGCGTGAGGCAGCACAGCGGGTAAACAGTTGCACAGTTGTGACTAAGATTCACTGCAGAGGTCGACACGTGACATTTTTGAAGTGGAAACACTTTATATACAAACACGTTGTAAAATCCTGCTGGGAAACAAAACTAAGACTTGCTCTGTTAATGTGCAGCTGGATTTATGGGTGATTGAGTTTAAAATCTCTTCCTTCCACCTTCAGACCGTTTGGCCAGATCCTGCGGCCCATTCTGGACTCTATCCACATCGCCCCCCCAGGAGGAAACGTCATCAACGGGGGAAGGAACATCTAACCTGAGAGAGCAGCAGAGTCAGTGTTCTCCAGGTCACTTCCATTGTAGTCAGTCACTGAGAACTCTCAACCTCTCCGTCTTTCTTTCTTTCTTACCTTCTTTCTTTCTTTCCTTCTTCTCTTCCTCTCTTCCTCTCTTTCTTTCTTATTGTAAATAAACTACAAAGGTAATTGCTGTAACTGATAGACGACCAGTTAATCCTTGAAATTCATTATTTAAGTTTCATTCCCTCCTCTAAGACGCCCTTCCTGAAAACCACTTAGTCACTGCCCTCGTCGTGACGCTTGAGGGTGCCTGGGTCAGTGCTGATCAACAGCTGGACAGAAACAATAGACAGATGTGGAGTCTTGCAGTATCATACCAGCACAGCCTGATCTCACCGTCGACTTTCCGACTCTGAAAGTTGAGTTTGATGAATGTTTTTTTTCTTAGAAGTGAATGGAAGTAAAAGATATTTCACCGAGTATTTTCCTGATCAGATTTGAGGCGCTGCAAGTTTATTTAGTATTTAGACTCCACAGCATGAAATATTGCATATCTGATAGCTGTAATTAAACCATCTACAACATTCAAATACCTCTTAGCACATTAGTGCATCAAGCTAATTTATTATAAAATCATTTCTATTCGTTTTTTTTTCCCCCATTTTGATGTTGCCACATGTTTTTTTTTTTAAAAAAGGATTTTAGCTCCCGACATATCAGGTTTCACACACGGGTTACGCAGAGAGATCATCTGCTGCTGACTGCAATGGAAATAATCTGAGTGTACACGTTTGCATAGATCTGTTTATTATATTCAAGTCAGAGGAGTGAGGAGAAGGAGGGTTGGATCTTTTAATGTCAATCAGATTTTAATTTTTGCACTTTTTATGCTTTGTTTTACTTTTTTGTTATTTGGTAGCTTGTATTTGTTTTCCCTTCAGCCACCTTCCCTACCTGCACCTCTCGTGTTTGTTTCTGTTTCTGTTCGATCCGGCGGCTTTACCTTACATTATATCATTCCAGTTGTCACAGACATACGGCAGGTGACCGACGCCTGACCAGCTCAGAGGTTATAAGCTTACATAAGAGATTACATGAACTGTGTTGAGTGTGTATCTTTATAGCAGGACTGGGATCAGTTCACTCTGAAGTCGGTTGTTTCTTTGTCGACAAAAGTAAAACCCTTCGTAACCCTGGTAACGGCGAGAAGAAAACACATCCTGGTCCGTTAAATCTCCTCTGTGACATGACTAACAGTGAACTGCATCTCAGCCCAGTTATATGACGGACGTCGTGCCTCTCGGCCTGTTGCCAGCTGCAGAGGGAGACGTTGATCACAGATACACTTGTTCTATAATTATTTACAATTCATGTTGCTCCAGTTGCCATGTGGGTAATTTTAAACAAATTGCACATCCACAGATATTTTTAACGTAGAGGTGACCGTACGCGGGGCGAACGTCCGGCGCTGTCGACTTATCAACGCTCTGCTCGAGTCCTTTAACAGCCACCAGAGTGTGTTCGATATACGACACACCTCTGTGCCTTCATTTCCCTCCGCTTGGTTCCAGTCACACTGTTACAGGTTGGCATGGTTATAGGAGAGCACAGATGGTATATTCCTATGCATTCTGCATTAGAGATCCGATAGTTGGTTTACTGTATGATGGTCCAGGAAAATCTTAAAATGCGTAAATTAGGTAAAAGTTGAACGTAAAAGTGGCTAACACTCATCATGCAGTCACACAATGATTTAAATTCTTAACTTTTTAAAACAAGCAGCTGAAAATATTCCAGGTTGATCAACATCTGGATCCAGTACTGTAACTCGCAGCCTATAATCTGAGTGCATTATCCACTGCACTCTGCCGCCACAGAGAACATAGATAACACACACAGCTGATCACATGCTTTAGGCTTTATCTGATTAGCATGGTGTTACATGTGGAGAACCGGGGACGTCACAGGAGAAGTAATAAAACATTTCCTTCATTTCATATTTTAAAAATAGCAATATTAAAAAGAATTTATAAATGAAGGAATAATCCATCAGTTAATACTTGATATTTAAAAATTCATTTACAAAAACAGCATGAAACTCTCATTAAATAAACCGTTTATAAATACATTTATTAATTCATGAATAAATAATAGAAATAGAAAAGGCAGTTTAAAAATGTGAATAAATAACTTTGTGGACATGATATGACTGGTTAGCTGTCCAACCAATCAGAGAGCTTGGTTTCACCAGCACTGAAGGCTAAAAGGAGAAGCTAAATGACTAAGCTAATCGATGAGCTAACAGGAAAATCAGCTGGAAAAAAAGAAATGGAAATTGAATATCAACAAAGTTATTTATTCACATTTTTAAAATGTCTTTTCACATTCTATTACTTATTCATGAATTAATAAATGTATTTATAAACGGTTTATTTGATGAGAGTTTTGTGCTGTTTTTGTAAATCCATTTTTAAATCTGAAGTATTAATTGACGGATTAATCGTTCATTTATAAATCATTTTTACAATTCCTGTTTTTAATGCCTGTTAAAATATGAAATTAAGGAAATGATTGAAGTATTGAAGCGAACCACACACACAACCTCACGAGTCTTTCCCTGCTTAAACAGACAGAGTGAAGGATGAACGAAGCACAGGAAAAACAACAAGTCTCAAAGCGTGATTAAACCAGCATTAACTGTCATCATGTTCTCCTGCAATAAATGAACCTTACACACACTTTACCTTCCAAGCAGCCACTTAACTCAAAGTGTAACCTGACATCTGTAAGTATTTGGTTTCTTTTAGAGATCGACATATTCAACTTTTACTCCCCTTTAAGAGGCTAGAAAGCTCAGGTGAATCTGGGTTCTGTTATTTTGCCTTCAGCTAACCAACTGACTGACATGCTAATGCTAACCAGACCACTGAAATGTATTACTGCACAAGTCACCCTTTGTTGCTGTAATGTGTGTTGTTGCTGGCTGCTACCTGTAATGTGAAATTGCAACAGATATATTTATGGATATTATTCCCTATTTGAGTAATCTAACTATAGTAGATATGCCTATGCATATTGTTTGTAATGTTTGTGTAATTGTTTTTGTTGTTTTTGTAATTCAACCTATACATAAAGCCATTGACTGCATATGTGTGACTCTCTGGTGTATTTTAAAAAAGCTTCCGGCTATTTTCAGTGGGTTGTATTTCTTTTCCCCAGATTACACCTCCGACAGAAATATAGTAACAGGCGTGATGTCATGTCATTGGCCTGGAGAGACACGTTTGAAGTTACATTCCGACACTTCACGGTGTTAAAATACTGCACACGTGTGATATGTTATGGCCTCGGCGGAGACTTTCCTTATTTACCTGTTAAAACGATCAATGTAAGAAAGAAAAAAAACGTGCACATCACATTCATGCATCAATATCCTTGTTACAAAGTGAATAAAAAACATTTATGTGACATAGGAGGATAATTCACATGCATAACCTTGTACAAACTTCCAATCAATATGCCACAAAAGATAAAATAAAAATAATATTTGAGTAATGAGGTGGGTGCCACAGGTTAACAAGACACTGGGGCAACAAAAGTCAAATATTCATAACGGCCATGAACTGTTAATATGAATAAACTAAGTGGAATATCACAAATATTCTTTATAAACAGGTTGTTTTTCTGTGGACGGTTGCAAAACCTTTTACATTTCTCTCAGTTACTCAGAGACTATTTGGACTAAACCAACAAAACTTCAGTATATTAAACTGACATCTGTCTGCTGATCACCCAAACCATTTAAGGATGATTCCACATGACACATCATTCACAATAATTATTGGAATTTAAGAATTTAGATGTTGCAACTGACCCCCACCCTGAGGACGGTTGCAACTGTTAAAAACACATTAAATTTCAATAATTAACCATTAACTTTTGATCTCAATACGAATTGTATTCTGAAAATATGCAGTTTGACAATAATATTATTATATAATTTATTAATTTAATAATATTGATCAAAGAACAGTTATTGTGTTTTGTTTTTCATAGAAGATAGAAAATACCTTCAGTCAAAAACAGGCACAATTTATTTACTTTATTGCTTGTGATGAACAGAACAGGTAAATATATTATAAGACCATGAGAGGCCAACAAAATAATTCCCCATAAAAACTTGTTTTGTTTTCTCTCATGCATTAAAACCTGGAATCATTTCTGTTGAGCTGTGGGACAAAATTAGTTTCATATTTTGCCTGTTTTAAACTACAAATGTTGAAACACACTGGTGTGTGGTCTGTGTTGATTTGGCTGCTTATCTTTGTCGCAACCGTCTCCACCCTGTCGGCCATGACAGAACAACATGTGCTAAACATACATGCATGCATACATGACACATGCTAACTTTGTCATTTAGAAGTCAACAACACAGAGACTCAAACTCCGTAACTTTTGATTAATTCAAACAAAAGTTCAAGACAGTTTGACAAAAACAAATTACTTTCACATCTCCAAAACTTTATTCAATAACACTGTTAATGTTGAATGCGTCGTCTGTTTTCCTGGTGGAGGGGGGGTCTAACTGAGCATGTGCAGTATGAGTGTCATCACTCTAGCATGTTTCTGATTGGAGGAATAAGACTTGTTGCAACCGGAATCAGGAAAAAAAAATAAAATATATATATATAAATATATAATATATCTGTTTAAGAGGGACTAGAAATGAATGCACAGGCTATAATAATATGATTGATAGATAATAATAAGATATGCCAGCAAGAAAGGCTTAATATCAAAGTCCTCATGTAAACCATAAGTTTCCAACTGCCAGAATGTTTTGAAGTGTTCACCCCCTCCAGGTGGTATGTCATGTTTTTAAAGGCCCAGGTATCTCTAGTATTAACATTGTGACTGGTCAACTTGAATGTTACAGCCTCGGCGCAGTTCTCTGAGCGTCCACAGGGAGGCAGTGTTGCTCTGTCTCCAGCTGCAGATGCATCCTGAGGACAGAGATGGATTTTGATCAGGGGGTTGCTGTTTGAAAGGGCAAGTAATGAATCAATATTACTGTATCCCACCTCGTATTCATGAATTGCCACCGAGATCGAATAAGCAAGGCACTAACCAGCAATAAATGATGTTGCAACAACCCCCGGTTGTGGCCACGTGTGGGTTTGAGGGGGGTAAATGCTAAATGCTCTGAGGGAAAAGCAAAAGGTTAATAAGAAGAGGAAATGCACTGAAAACAAAAAGGGAAAATAACATTTCAACTGGTTTAATACTGACAAACAACCAAATTAATAAGTGATGAAGGTTAATGTTGTCCGTGTTCGGAGGTCCTAAATCTCCCACTTTATTTCCCCCTCGGCACCACGATTCAAAACCAACTTCTAATGTGGATTAATTGATTTCACCAATGGCACAAATTCAGAGGAGTAATTAAAGTTCATCATTTGACTTTCATCAGAAATGTACCCGGTGTTGTCTGTGCTGTCGCCGTGGTATCAATCATGATGTCAAAGCTGGTATCACTTATCCAGATGGCTGATATCTCACTGTGGAGCAAAACTGTTGTGTAAACAGATGTGAAGCAAACTTGGTCCGTGGCCCTGGGATCAGCCCCCCCCCTATGAGAGAGTGGATAATAAATGCACACAGAATTACCCCGTCCTTGCTACCCGTGGGTGTGTAGCTGAATCAGCTCAGTTAGTAGCACAAATATGAGCGTTCATGTGACGTTTGACAAACGTTCACCTTCTCTCCAACTTCAAGGGTACTGTCAGCACGGGCCAAAGTTGTTAGCACGGCGGTTCCTCTCTGACAAAACCCAGTGAGTCACCGCGGCCCTCCTGCTGGGGTGACAAATCCTTCCATGACACACAGGGGTGACTTGGCTTCTGCTCCTGTAGGCTCAGTTTTAGCCGTGGCGTGCCATCCGGACAGGCGAGGCAAGGCGAGGCGAGGCGAGGCGAGGCGAGCAGCTCTCTCAACTGCAACGATAGCGAAGTGGAAGTGACGGGGTGGGAGCTGGTTCGGTTCTTTGGCTCTGGTTGTCTGTCTCTAAAAGTCATTGCACGCCTCTGTCTACTATTACTGAGAATATAAACATGTAAATACATTTGAATACTTGAAGCACGGTGACCTACAGTTTAGCTAGTTTGTCCTTAAAAACAACAACAACAACAACAACAACAACAACAACTACAACAACTACATTTTGGACAAATAAAGTCTGACTGGTAAATAAAAGTGTGACCATTAAAACCTGTAACACATAATCAGAGATATTCAATCATCATTTTATAAACTTTATAACAATCTTTAATATTAACAAACTCCTATTTACACATCCAGGAGATACAGAGTTAGCATTAGCATTAGCATTACGTTTTATTTCAGGCTAAGTCCAATACTCATCGTCCTTTTAGCTAGTACGTCCGTCTCATCCTCATGGAGTCGATATCTCTGCAACGCTTCGACTGAACTATGGCACAAACATTCACTCGGATTCAAGGATGAATTGATGAGATTTTGGTGGTCAAAGGTCAAAGGTCATGGTGACCTCTGTGGTTTTGGCCTTGTAAATGCAATATCTCCAGAACTCTTACTCTTGCTACCAGCCACAATTAAATAAATCAATCATTCACAGTCCAAAGCAATTATAACCATACATCAAAAACAAAAGATACCAAACTTATGGACTAACTTGTAACTTGTAAAACTTGTAAAATGTTTTAAGTGTGGAGACCGACTCAGGGAGCAGAGATGAAGTTTTCCTCCTCACTCAGCACTTCCTGAGTTTGTGGTTGCAGTCCTCCCGAAACATCTGCTGTCAGCGGCTGTTCTGAGTCCTTCCTCTTTAGTCAGATCACCCGCAAGTGTGAGTAGCATGTGTAGGCGAGACTTGACAACCTGACTGGGGAGATGGGCAGCGATGTTATCTTAGCCTGAATCGAGTCCATTTACAGCATCTATTATAGTCTTCTCTCTCTGGGCGGCAACTACTCCAGAAATTAAATCAGCGGAGAGAATTCAGGTCTCTCAAATGATGCTAGTTCTCGGTTGATCGGGCATTTG